TGAGGTCAACAAAGTCGATTTCTGAGACTTTGGCATCATCAAGAAGCTTCCAGGTACCTGCACGACCCTTGACGGCGATAGTGAAATGACCTCGCTCACCGGCAGACGCTTCTTGGTGCAGGACTACGGCGGTCAATTCATATTGGATGTGCTTGTTGGTTTCCTTTCTGCGCTCATCAAAATAAGTGGACAGAAGAGTGATCTCTTCTTTCATTTGGACCCGGTGCATAATTTTGTTAATTTTGTTATCGACCAATTCGAGACGATTGACTTGGACGAGGAGAAGCTCGGGGGGTTGCCCCAATTGAACCGTGTAAACTCTGGGATTCCCGCATTTCGCGCATTTGGGACGTGTATCGTCCTCTTTGGTAAACATGCCGTCCACCATATCCGTGATCGGTGTGTGCTTTTCGGTCTTGTCTGGCCAACCGAGCCTCAGAAAGACCTCTTTTCTTGCGGTGAACACATCCTTACAAGGTTTGTCGCCTATGCATTTCTTCACCTCAAACATCTCCACCCTGAGCGCATCGTCCACATCGCACCGGCTGTTTGAGTCTCGTTAGTCATGCCGCTGGAATAAGTTGATCGGAAAAGTACGTACAACATTGGCTTCGTGGCCTCTCTGAGCTGGTAGACAACCTGCTCAAGGTACTCCCCAATGTCTGATTGCTCATCCTCCTGGTCTGCTCTCCATGTATCATATACCGACTTGGTGATTGTGTCGAGTATAGCTTTCCATTTACCAACGCCTCCATCCCAGTAGACGGCACAGAGTGCCTGAAACTGACACACTTTGCAATATTTGCCATATTCGCCGCGCTGGCAGGTGTACCCTTTAGGCGCATGGTGGTTTTTGTACCAGTTGAGCCAGTTGCAAAAAACCGGCGCATGCAAAAGCAATTGAAGGGTTGCATTGCGGTAGCACTGAACAATAATATTTGGGAAGCCGACTTCGGTTGAATCTTCTACCTCTGGATCCCATGCGGTAGGAATGCCTGACTAGGATAACGTTAGGAGTTATCGCATTCCCGAGAACAATAGTCTACTTACTCTCCGGGTTAAGTCTTTCGGTTTCTTGCGGGCTAGTGCTGCTTTTTTGGCCGGTGCAGTCTTTTTTGGCACTGGAGCTGCAGCCGCCGGTACTGGCGCTGATGCATCTGCTACGACTGGATTTGCTCGGGTTGATCGCGTCGATCGCTGGGAAATATCACTCCCTGTAGCCATATTGACGTATAGTGTCACCTAAAATAATATGCAATTATCAAGTTTATGTCTCAAGTCTCGCGAGGGGCTTTCCAGTTGAATTTATTTTCTAGGGTCTTGCATTTCGAATACTCTCATTGTCATATCTTTCTTTGTTAATGAAGCATAATCCCTCAAGCGTTCTTTGATTCACGCGGTTATGGATGTCAAGATCAATGGATGCGAGTATCAGACAAATCAAGGCCGACCAAGTATCAAGTCCAACTGGTTTCTTTCAGTGATTCCAAGACATAACTTACACACGCCTTACCGCTCAATATTGGACGAACACGGACGGAATCAAGTATGATCTATCCAACCAAGTAACGCCCAAAGTATCTCTCTTTCAGTTAAAACTATTAATAACAATAATGGACTAGCCCTCTCCCTGAATCCCCAAAGGAAAGAAAGGAGAAAAAGGAGTGCATGTTGTGACAGGAGATGTATCAATCTTGGGCATCAACTCCGAAACATAGGTCATTTCACGGGACGGGAACGTGGAGATGGGAATGTCAGCTCTCGAGAGCTCTAACCATGGACTCCCCTGTGATCAACATAGTCCAGACCTGTCACTTCCGATGTCTGTTTGGGAAGGAGTCTATACATCGTGGTCTAGAAGAAGAGGACGGGAAGACGGGAGGAGGGGGTTAATAAGAACCAATCTGAGCCACACTTGGATATGCTCTTTTCACTCTATTCCAGGAACCGGTTCCTATACTGTATATGAGTTGACGGTCTAGAAGACCTCTCTCCCCACAAGGCAAAGTGTTTCAGATGGAGTCGGTGGAGCCCACGAGCCCTTCATAAGCCAACTAGTCGCAGACTATTGGTCTGCAGCTTAAGATCCGGCCGAGAGCTAGTGAAGTCCGGCAGACGTTGACTCCTCCTTCTGAATCGGGGCATCATTCGATGTCTCTATTTCTCCCTTTATCCACTTTTCGGCCCTTTGGAGACACGTCCGATTGTCTCTCTTGACAGAAGAGTTCCTCAGATCCACAGGTGCTGCATATGACCTAAGTGGAACTGTAAATTCTCCGAGAGTATACAACACGGTAAGGTTCATATTAGGGAGGGGGAAAGTAAATTAACTGCATGAAACGACAGGGAAATGAACAAAGAGAGGTCCAATAGAAAAACCGGGTCCAACGGGTCTGTGTCGGACATTTAGGGCGATCGTGCAATAAATAGAGCAGAAAACCTCCGCTCAGCGCCACCAGCTCTTCGGCCACTACCACTTAAGTCATAGTCGCGATGATCCAAACGTTTGCCTCCCCATGTCAACTCCACCGAGTTGCTGACGATTGGTTAGCCTATAAACAACAACCCTGTCACCTGTACTTAGTAGGGCGAGCTGTATCATCACATCGTGTGCCGCGTCTGACCATAGCCTGACCGCCTCGCTATGATCGGCCTCGGTCAACACCCGGAGCCGTTTGCGCGGATGAGCGGATCACTGAAGCTGAAGCCGCTTAGTCCGTGCTGGAACTGGAGAGAGTAAGGATCGGCTGTGAACGTTGAAGGATCCACCGAGGTCAGGGCAGTGTAGGAAGGACAAGTACTCTGTAGGTTGAAAAAGCTCTAAACGACGTAAACGAGATTAGAGCGGAACTGCAAAAAAGGAGTGCTGATCCTCGCATTGACATGTTTCAGGCAACCGAACTGATCAGCAGAAGTGCGGAAATTAAAATTAAGAAAAAAGAAAAAGCAAAAGCAAAAGCAAAAGAAACGGGGAAATTAAAGAACTCGTGTTCTCAACCCGGTTTTCCGGGTCCAACGGTTGACAAGCTGAGAGTACCAGTCAAGGAGCAGAATTGCATTGTTATAATATAAAACGACCCACCAGTCCCTGCCCCGTCGTTCAGAGAGTCTGAGACCCTTGGGAAGTTGGAACTGGTGATTCTAGACCTTTGGAAGTGGTATACACCGTGTACAGTATACACAGTATACACAGTGTACAGTATACATACTATGCTGTACATAGAAAGATCTGAATAAATGGAAAATTTAATGTATATATTTACTTAAATATTATGATATTCGAATGTGATATCATCATATAATATGATAATGGCTACAATAGGGGGAGGAGGGAATAAATCCCCGAAGTGTGCAGAAATGCAATGTGGGACGTACACGCAAGACCCCAGATCCTGGTCTAAGTAAAAAGCCGTTGAAATGAGATCTGGAACTTTTAGCCAGGCCGGAGAAGACCGCCTCATTTTACTCAGGATGATGCGGGTCTCTCTGCGTATATAGGTATCAAGTGTTACAGTAATGTTTGATCGCACTTGCCCCTCCCCACTATATACGTTAAATTGTAATATTACCGTTGTCAAGTGCTTCTTTCCTTTAACCTTTACTTTTCTTCTTCTTCGAGTAGACCTCGACCTCGTTTCTTTTGGGTGGTTTTTTTTTTCTCGCTCTGTCGTCATTCGAGACAGCTCTTTCCATCTTTTACCTTTGACCATCTTCTCTTCTATCTATCTTCTATCATCTATCATCTATCTCTCTATCACTGGCTCCATCCGCGCATATGATTGCGTTACAACACCAGCCTATCTCGCATCCTGCCAAAGTGGATATCTCACTCCTACTCAAGCCCCAAGATGAGGAAGAAGCCGCCCCGGGCATCAACACCGGGTTCCCGCCCAGAATCCCAGGGCCACCGCTGGGCTCCATGGGCCCCATCATGACCATGCCGGGCCCGGCTGCTATGACGGCCATGCCTCCTCTCACTAAGTCGGGCCCCTCAGGTGCCCCCAAACGTCTGCAACCGGCGCATACTGCCGAATCGCCGGCAAAGAAACAGTCCAAATGGTCACCAGAAGAGGATGCCTTGATCATCGAGTTGCGAGGCAGTGGGATGAAATGGGAGGATATCAGCAAACGACTGCCAGGCCGCAGTGCGATCAGCTGTCGACTTCATTATCAGAACTACCTGGAGCGCCGAAGTGAATGGGACGAGGACAAGAAGAACAAACTAGCTCGTCTATATGAGAGGTAGGTTGAGAAAGAGAGAACAAACACATGAGCAGTCCACTAATCTTCTGATCTGTTTCAATAGATTCAAAGCCGAAATGTGGTCCAAGGTAGCCGAAGAAATGGCTATCCCTTGGCGTGCAGCAGAGGCCATGCACTGGCAACTGGGAGAACAGGAGATGGCCCGCCGTGCGGGCGTCGTACCATTCTCCCTCTCCAGCGCTGCCATCGATCCCCCCACCACCAGAACACGCCGTGCCAGCACCTCTCTCTCCCGGCCCAGGAAAGGGTCTTCCTCACGCGCAATCCCCGGTCAATTTCCCGGCCTCCCTCCCCAGCTTCCCTCCCTGGAAGAGCTCACTGCAGGCGTTCCTGCATACGCACCCGCTCCCCCCCCAAGAGAGTTTTATGGAGCTGGACGACCGTCTGAAATGGGCATTCCTCCGCCAGGTCTGATGGGCCCTCATCTCGGCATGCCCCCTCGAACCCTGCCCTAAGTCGACGACGATGACGCCTACACGTCTTTCCTTGAATTTTGATCTCTTTTTTCTTTTGCTTTGTTGGTCCTCTGTTACGAATTGCATAGCGCCGGCGGGAGGTATATCGTGATTTGAGGAGATAGTAAATCGTATAGATGATTTCTATCCCTCGGTGTTTGTTGGGCTGTTTTCTCTCTGTTTGCAGGATCTTTGGCAGGACCAGCAGTGCGAATGGATTTGTTTCTCCATGACTCCGAGGCTGGTTCTCGGAGTGCATGCTTGCATGCACCACGTTCTTTCTCAAACGTCAGCCGTCTTGGGCGTCGCGATCGCCCACCAATTGTCTTTCTCGTACCCCGCTTCCAGCACACGACCGCCGGCGTTGTCGATGTCCCGCTCTAGCTCGCCTTCCTCGTACAGGTGGTAGTAGCGGTGGAAGGTCTGGGGCTGGTCACCCTTGCGAACCCAGGGGACCATTCGATCCTGCTCATCACCCTTGTCCCAACCTCTGCGGCTGTTCTTCTGTTCAAGGGCCCAGGCATAGATCAGGATCTTACCACCCTCATGCGTCTTTGAACCAACTTTGACGGTCCGCAGAATCTCAGCGACTGCCTGAATGCGCCGAGCCGGGGTGGAAAGATGGTGCACGACCGCGATCGAGATTGCAAAGTCAAAGCTTGCGTCCCGATGGGGGAGGTCGAGAATGTCGGCTACCACGGTCGAATGCGGCTGGTGCTGAAGGGCTATGCGAGCCAGGTTTTCAGATCTGCTATTGGGTCAATCAAAGCCATGCAGTACGAAGAAAGTGAACGGAAGCTCCATCCCCTTAGAGGGGTAAACCAATATCCATAAGAATTGAAAAAAAAAAAAAAAAAACCCAAACTTTTATCACGTACCTATCCGAAGCAACGATAAATACATCGCGATTGACCATCAAGTTTTTGCCATTACCACATCCTACATCTAGACCCACTGAACCGGGCGCCAGACCCTGTAGAAATTGTTCGACTATAGGCCATGGCTGGGGAACGGTTAGTTTGGTGTACTGTTGCAGCCAGTCGCTTAGACACACCTTGTACCGGGTAGCGGAGAAATGCTGGGCAATCTGCTGATAAACCTCATGCACATTCTTTTGCTCATAGGCTTCATCTGCCTGTGGGGTCGCCATGGTGCTCGAGATTGAAAGAGGTGAAGAATTGAGAAAGTGAAGTGAGAACGGTATCACGTGGCCTCGGACATAGTGCGGGCAACACATTCAACGATGTCAACGATGTCAACGTTGGCAACGTTGTATATACTGAACTCGATTATGTCAATAGTAAAGATACATAACTACCTAGGTATGGTAGCTCTAATTACTTACGGCTCAAAATTACGTCTTACGTGGTGTGGTGTATTGATCTTTCCAGATCTAGAACCCTATTTCGGCAATTGGTTGAGTACCTGGATCAGCACCTAAAAGGGTTTCCCGTGCTTCGTCCTACGTGGGATCTGAGTATTTCGGGATTTCATTGTCGACTTGTCGACTGTGTCAAGCGGTGCCTGTTCCTGGCGCGGCGTGAGCTGACTAATATTGTCTCCGTATAGGAGAGATTCCTTTTCCTGTCAACCACAGAACACAACAAATGTAAGTACTACCTGCTCGCTTCAAAGGCTGGTTCTTCATGGAGTCTTTGGAAGGCGCCGTGTCACTGCAACATGTGCATCCCCTTTAATTGCATGCGGCAGCTTATCATGAGCCCCTCAGGGGATTTTGATATTGCTATGCAACCCGCGGTGACATTGAATAAATGGTTTCATTTGTGACATAAAACAGCCCCTGTGGACTTATGATTTCATCATTCCTAAATTCGGTCTACACATGGAGAGCTCAGGCTCCTGGATCACTCCTGGATCACACACAACGAATGCTAACCGTTCTCTAGAAAAGTAGAACAAAAGGGAAAAAAAAGAGACATCATGGCATTTCAGCCTACTCCGACGGATGTCTCCGTCATCATCACCAATGCTGCATCAGGCAAAGCCAATGATGCAGAGCCCAAGTTCTTGACCGAACGCCGCATCACCCCTACCTGGACCGTGATGCAGGTCAAGACAAAGCTGGAGACCATGACTGGTATCCCACCAGGAAGCCAGCGCCTGCGGGTCAAAACACCCGGCCGACCTGATCAATGGGCTGATGGGGATGACCGCCTGATTGGAGACTGGGGACTGGTGAAGGGATCAGAGTTCGAGGTTGGTTTCGTCCCATAACTGTCTCTGCTGTGCCTGCTCTGCTGGCATCCAAAAGAAATGGCCCTTTATTTGGATTCAATTGAAGAGCCATTGTTGAGATGGAACTATAGAAAAGACCCCATGCTGAACATCTCTCGCAGATCCATGATAGTCGTCCGCAAACCATGCGGGCCAATTTCACCGACCTGTCATCCGTCGATAAATACGTACTGCCAACTGAAACATACGAGGCCCGCTCAGACTCCGTATTGGCCTGGAAGAAAAACAAGAAGCTAGGCCGATTTGATCCTAACGCTCTATCACCCGAAGAAGCTCTGCGTCATCAAGCAGAGAAGGATCAAGCCGAGGTCAACACACGAGGTTCGTGGGAAACACGTGAAATATCCTTTTGTGATTGATCTAATAGTGTCTGGTAGGAATTGCCGTTGCTAACCGGGCAATTGTGCTGCCTTCAACTCCGCCGCATATCCGACGGGGCACTATTCGCTTCGTTGGGCCTGTTCCCACTATCCCCATTACCGGCCCGGGTCGCGAGCTGCAACAAAGTGGGGAGCTTCCGGCGAATCTCCAGCCTATCTGGGTTGGGATTGAGCTTGACGAGCCGATGGGGAAGAACGATGGTAGTGTGGGTGGGCAACGCTATTTCGAGTGTCTAGGCAACCGGGGCGTTTTTGTCAAACCTGAAAAGGTCGAAGTGGGAGAGTTTCCCCCGTTAGGTCTTGACGATGAACTGGATGAGCTTATGGAAGAGATATGATAAGCATCGAACTATCTCATTGAATAATCGAACAAAGGACCGGTTCTGTCTGCCAACAAAACGAATAGATCAAGTAGATGAGATTTGGCGTCCCAGGCTCTCTCACTTGCTCTTCCACCACTAATTAACACCAATACAATAGACACTGCATAATTAACAGGAAACACAGGCGGGAACGCCAAAAGCCCAAGGTAATCGTATGAAACAAATCGCTGAAGAACGAATAAGAATGACAAAAGACATAGTTGGACACCACAAGAGACATTCCAGGGTATCCATTCACGTAATCGAGGAGAGTATCATGGTGGGTTGTCAATGGCGCATCAAGGCAGTAGACAAGGACAAAATAGATTGGATTGATCATTTGCTGCTCTTTTTCTGCTTGCCCCTAGGGCGTCCCTTGCCCTTCTTAACAGGGGGAGAAGCAGGAGCAGCGGATGCGGCTTCAGCCTCATTCTCGTTTTCAGTGCCAGCTTCGGGAGTTGGGGGCTGCCTGTCATTCTTCCTGCCTCTAGGGCGTCCTCTGCCCTTCTTAACAGAGGGAGAAGCAGGAGCAGCGGATGCGGTTTCAGCCTCATTCTCGCTCTCAGTGCCAGCTTCGGGAGTAGTGGCCTGAGTGTCGTTCTCCTCTTCCTCCTCGGGGAGCTGTCCCTGGGTGAAAAACAGCCGTACTTCTTTGCTATGGATATTTGCGAAGCTATAATAGTTGCCTGGAAAAAGAACCCTCGGGTTAATAAAACCTATAGTCAAGAAGTTAAAAAGAACATAAGACTTACCACGAGGAACTTGGAAAACGCAGCCCTTGCCAGCACTGAATTGAATTCCTGAAATGTCTACTTGCACGCGTCCGTGGCATACGTAGAATACCATGTGCATCCTCTTCGAGTTTTTGGGTTTCTTCACTCCTTTAGGTGGAAGCTCCACGACTCCAGAACCAATGAACGTTCCACTGAGAAGTTTTGCAAACCGGAATGATGAGCCTTTGACCTCTCGTGTTTCGATGCCAGAAGGAGCATATGCAACGTCTGTCATGAGTCAGTGAATGAACCACAGCGGCTGAAACGGCATTCTTACCCAGAACTTCTTCTTCTTTCGAACTAGACTGCGTTTTCGAGTCCCATGTTTGGACATAGCCGTGGAGAACACCACCTTCTTGCTCCCAAAGATCAGCATCCCCATCTTCCTCATCCGAGGAGTCATTCCTTGGCTTCTTCGACTTGGATTTTCCACCGCGTTTAGATTTCTTTTTCCTTTCAGGCTCTTGCTCTTCGGTGCGAATGACTTCTTTGATGGTCGAAAGGGGATAGCGATGTCCCTCCGCGACTTCCCCATCACCAAAGACACAACGTTCATTGCGCCAGTACGCCAGAGGGCGAACAGACACCCGCCCAGATCGAGTATGCGTTGCACTGGTGTCCTCGGGGTTTTCCCGCTTGAGAATGTACAAACTTCGGCCCTTCAAAGGACCTGTGCGGTTGGCGTAATTGTCCACCACGCGATCCAGTTCTGGCTCTAAAGGTTCTCGCGCGGCTTGTGCTACTTTCGCCGTCATTCTTTTCTTGGTTGGTCTGGTATCGGCATCTCCATCAATGTCGCGGCGCTGAGATTTCGGAGGACGTCCGCGGGGTTTGGCTGGCGGTTTATCTGCTTTGGCGGTCTTTGCAGCGCCCGTATTCGCGTTTGAGGTTATAGTCTCGTCCGTTCTGGGTGGAGTATTGCCAACCATAGAAGCGTCATCATGTCCATTCTGATTTTGCTCCAGAGGATCCGTAAACTCCTCTGCACCAGCCCGAGGATCAAGGCTATTGCCAAGATCTTGTTGTAAGCGGGCAATAGCACCTGCATTCTCGTCATTCTCGTCATTCTCATCGCCCTCGCCATCGGAGAAATCAGGTAGCACTGAAGGCTCGGACTTTGCTGCTAATTGAGCTTTTGTCTTCCATGTGTCTTTCTTCTGGTTTAATCGTCCCGCATTCACGGAGCGGGTAGATAGAGGAGAGGGGTCCGGGGGCGAATTTTCCTGCGCACTAGCTGAGCCATTGCCATCGTACGGACTTGAGGACTCGTGGATATCCTGCAGTTCCGGGGTTGATCGCAATGCAGTAGGCCCTCGCGGAGACCCAGTGAGGCCAGCCTTCATTGGCGACCGTGCAGCGGACGGGGAAAGAAAAGAGGTTCGTGGGCCATTGGCACTCCTGAGAAAGTCCATGGGATCCGGCGCATTGCCTGGAAAAGTTGAGCCGGAGAATCAGCATGCAGAAACAAAACCTCGGGGGAAAGCACCAGTGGCGCACCTTCATCCATTGACATTTCATCGGACCCAGTTGAGGACGCATTCTCCTCTTCAAACGCAGGGAGCCCGGTTGGCGACTTCTCGGGCGAGGAGAAGAGGCCGTCCACTTCTTCCATTCCATGCTCATCGCGTCGCCCCTCTTTGAGAGAGATACCGGTGCGCCTAAAGATACCAATTGCGTTAGATCTGGGGTTCACGAACACTTGCTTCGTACTTCACAGTAACATGTCTTACCTTCCCGTGGTTCCCACGTTGGAGTAGTCGAAGTCGCGGGCCTTTCCGGGCCCTCGTGCCATATCGGAGGTTGAGCACCAGACACTGGATAACGGAGACCTCAAAAACGTAGCGCTTTTCGCATAAAATGATTTGAACCGACTTATATCAAAAACAGGTGGAACAGTACAGCGAGAAGCAAAGGTGGAGGGGAGGAATGATGCGACGGAATTTGGGCGGGAGAAACACGCGCCCGCCCGCTAATCCCGAAAAGTCGACGCGTTGCATACTTGAGCCATCTTCCCTGAAACAGGACGAACATTCGAACTTGTACTTCAAAATTTTGATATTCACACAATGAGCAAAGAAACTTCCTCCGCCAATGCACCAGAATCGTCCACTTTTATTCCCCCCAGTGTGATTCCCGAACGCCTGTTCTCCGGCGATTCCTACGCGTACTACACTCCATGCCCGAACGCAATTACGCCCCAATATGCCTCTCCTACAGCCAACAACGCTGTCACAAGTACACCATGTGTCCTGGGCGTCGATGAGGCTGGCCGTGGCCCGGTTCTAGGGCCAATGGTCTACGGCGCCTTCTACCTTCCTCTCGAACTCCACCACTCGCTTTTGACCGAACAGCATAGCTTTGACGATAGCAAAGTGCTGACACCTGCTGTGCGTGCCAACTTGATGCAGCTCTTAAACACACCAGGAGACTCGCTGTTTGAGTCTTGTGGGTATGCAATCAAGGTACTTTCGGCGCGCGACATCTCTTCCGGCATGATGAGATCACCCACGGCCGTGTACAACCTGAACGCACAGGCGATGGATGCAACGGTGGAGATTATTCGAGGCGTTGTTCAAGACCGTGGAGTTGATGTGCGAGAGGTTTACATTGACACCATTGGCAACCCGGCTACATACCAGCAAAAATTGGAGCGGATATTCCCATCGTTGAAGATCACAGTCGCAAAGAAGGCAGACTCCTTGTACCCCTGTGTCAGCGCTGCTAGTGTGGCAGCCAAGGTGACGCGTGACGTTGCGCTGGAGATCATGTACGAGGATATCCTCCAAGCTCAGCAATTGTCTGGTCCAGCCCCCGAGACTTGGGGCAGCGGGTATCCCTCAGATTCAAAGTGTGTTGGCTGGCTTCGACGCAATATGGACCCTGTTTTTGGATGGGGCAATGAATGCCGATTCAGCTGGGGTACTGCGAGGGAAATGCTCGAGCTGAAAGGTGGAGCAAGGGTTGACTGGCCTGTCGACGAGGAGGACGGCACTTCAAGGCTCAGTGAGTTCTTAGTATCATCGGGCCCGGGGAAAAGCACAACTCGAGATGGATTACGGGATTGGTATGGACAGAGGCCAACAGAGATACTATGATTGCGATCCCGGGAAAAATTCGTGGGAATGCGTGGAATTAGATATGACTTGATATAACATTGATGATACCCTATGAACTTGCTTTCAGGAAGCAAAGCAAGAGTGATAACAAATAAAAAGCGGACCGATAGGTCCTACCGCGAGTATCATTAAGAAAAGATCATGCAAATAATGGGTATCATAGGCGAATGGAAGCCGGACAAGTTTCAAGGAATCACAGGGTAGCAGTCGAGAAATAATAATTTTCCCAGAGGTATTCATAGTCCTCCACAATACTGCCCACCATGTCCAACAATGGCTTGCCCTTCATCTTGCCTGTCACGCTGTGAAGCCAGGACCTAATTCACAGGTTAGTCTTTGTTCGGGAATTCAAATCTCAGCCCAGAGGTTCTTACTTGGTAATGTTTTCGTAGAATGCACCTCGCAACAGCCACCAGCCCATTGACCATCCACGCTTCTTCAGCTCCTCCCGCTCAAGGCCCGTGAGTCCTCTGAGACCACCGGCGACCCTTTCACGGAAGTCACGCTTGGCAAGCTGCCGACAGCCATACTCCATTCCAAATCCAATGAGCCATGGTCGCCAACTGCGCTTATCCTTGCTCCATTTTTGCATCGCCAACGCGTACGCGACGGGCCGAAGGATGTATAGCACTTCAGCTAATTGTCCTTGTCCCGTCGCACGATGAAGAAGTGCCTTCGGGGGCTTGATATCATCCGCTGTAAGCACCTTTGAGATGAGATAGTTTGACACATCGTTGACGTCAGGGAGAGACGGCAGGGATAGCCCCGTGCGCGGCATCGTCCAGTTCAAGTCTGAAGACCGTTCGCTCACGGGGATGTCCATACCATTCCAGTCCTCCTTCTGGTCGCCCTCTTCCGCTGTTCTTGGGTCCACTTCGCGCTCCGGGAGTGGTGGGCTGACAAGGGGTCTGGAATTGGTCAGCCGGAGCAGGAGCAGGCGACAGACTGCCTTGGCGAATTCAATGAAGACCACCACACGCCAGCGAGTCTTCTGGCCCCGTCGCCGTGCTGCCATCTCCCAGAGAAGCTCTGTGTATTGGAGCATCTGCAGCGCAAGCGCTACCTGGCGGTATAACGAGGAGCGAGAGGTCCAATATTTGGTATACCGGGAATGAGGAGTAGGTTGTGGCCGAGAAACAGTCGGGGGAAGCCGATCAATTACACGCGAAACAAGAGAGTCATGGTATAGCGACAACAACTGGACACCGGAATGCACTGAAGGGGTTATCAGCACACGCTCGACAGCAGGTACACCGTTATACTAACCACATTCTGAAGGTATTTCTGATTCGCGATATCGCCCTAGCAAATTAGGTGAGTTAAGAACCTTCCCACAAATCCAAGCACCAGAGTGGGGAAACTCACCTGGAATGATGTACGTCAAGGATCGCAGCGCAGATTCGACTTGACCAACCGAGCTGGCATTCTTGGTCACGAAGTCTTCATAGAGAGAAAGCCATTTAGATGGTTTCAAAAACTCTGGAGGTATTGGATTCTGGATGTTGCGAACGGTCTCCATCTTGAAGCGAAAGCATGTCAAGATAGATGAAGTGACGGGAGAGCGAGATCCGGGGGAGAGGTCGCAGGCACGTGGTCCCGCGTTGCCAAGAACGTTTGGGCCGAGGTTGATGCGTTCGGACTTGGTAGTACATAGGTATGCGTAATTTGTGATTTTTGATATGTGTCCGCCGATATCATCCATATATATACTACATACTCATAAAATCATAGTGTCTTATTCATCTGCCCATGTCCATAACCCTCCAGGGCGCATGGCCTCTCGGTATCGCTCCTCTACTTTTTCTCGCTCCAGTCTTTCAGCAGCTTCACGATCAGATTCCTCGTCTTGTGTATCTGGCATGTCTGTTCGCCAGAATCCAGGAGGGGATAGGGCTCGCTGGTGAGTATGTCGATGTCGCCCATACTGGTTGGCCAAGGCCCTGGCTCGCGCTTCCACCAGAAGATTCTCACGGTCTTGACCCTTCAGGGTTTGAAGCAATTGCGTATCGTCTCCCAGATATTCCTGTAGTATTCTCTGATCTTCTTCTTCTTTTGCTGCTCCAGATCTGCCAGGAAGACCCCCAAGGCGAGCCATGGCCCGGAACCGATCCCCACAGCAACCTGGGCGAGTGCAGCCTGATATACATTTACGGTCATCTTTCTTGCGAACCACCGTATCGTAGGCAAAGTCAAGTCCTTGATTTCTCGCGGGGTTGATTTTGAAATGCTCCAGCCCCAGACATCGAAGAGGCCTGGCCCTGTAAGGCTCATCGTCTGGATCTACGTCGGGCGCAGTTTGACTTGGAATTATTGGCATCAAATCACCTTGTGGTGCGGTATCTTCCGTTATTGTAATCGAGCCCGCAGCTTTTTTCGAAGCGCTGAGTGGCGATCTGGAGGGTGCCGATCGATCCAACAGATTTTCCAGGCGTCTGTGGGCAGGTCTGTCACTGGCACCCTTCTTTGATGGCCTTAGGGTTGCGTGAGAGGCAACATCTTCCCCGTCTTCTGCCAATGATGGTATTGCATGTCTCTCCAGGTCTTTTTCGTGTTTTGCATAATGCGTTTCATCGGGGTCTATCGCAGTACGTGCGTTTCCATCGACAGGCTGAAGCACTGAGTGTTGCGATGTCTGCCGGTCTGGTGGAATGGGCTTCGAATGAGGTACATGCTTTATGCTGTTGTTTGAGTCCCAATTGTTCCCAGCATTGGCATCCTTGTAGGCTTTTCGCTTCATAGGTGTTCGAATTGTGTCACCTATTTCGTCAAGATCTTGTGTGCCTGCGGATGGTAGTTCGTGGTTATACGTGGAGGGTCGGATTGGACTGGAAGACATAATCTCGTTTTTAACAAGTACAGGGCGCACTGAGCTCGTCTCCGCCCACTGGTTGCTGGGTAATGGATGCTCGCTGGGAGACGCTGGCGGAAGCCTCTGCCCTTTTGGCTGGCTGTGCACACCGAGTAAAGTACATGCTCCGTCAGAAGATTGTTCTGCGCGATCCACATCTAGTGGAGGAGAGCTTGATTGAGTGGAAGCTGGTTCTGATGGCTGGTTGAAGGTTGCCGTTTTGTTATGATCCAGTTTCGCAGCTTCCTCAGGGCTGTTTGCATGTTTGCGGATCGACGATGACTTGAGAGCTTTGGCTGGAGAATCTGAGCTCCCTTCTCTTGGACGTTTTTTTGCAAGGCTTTGGGTCGCTGGAGAGTGTTCCTTGTCAATCATATCAATGGTGGTACTTTTCACTCTGCGAAACGTGATTGGTTCGTCATTGAGAACAATCGTGAATTCTTCATGTTTTAATTGTTCATCCCACCGCCGTAGTTTCTTCTTATGCTGCAACACTCTGGATTTGAGGCCACTCCAGGTCTGAATGAATGTCTGTAAATTGGTATAAAGTGCCGTGTATTTGGCCACGACCGTTCTTGGTGAAGTCAGAACATCGGAAGGATCATCTTCCATGCTATTCCCCCAGAGATTCTTGGGGTCGAATTCGGCTTCTAGATTTGCGTATTCTCCGGGAAGCTCCAGATCGTGCGGATCGACTTCGTACTGCCGCAGCTCAATTTGGAGAGCATCGATATTCTGTCGAAGCTCTTGGATTTTGGCCTCGGCTTGTCGCTGGGCTTGACTGGCCCGTAATTCTTTGATTTCTGCCGCTTTGGTGTGAGTATCAAGCTGGGATTTCATGCGTTTGTACGCCTTGTCAAAAGAAGCTTCACAGGCATTTGCCACTGCGGCATGAAGCTCCTGGACAACTTCCATTGTGATAGGGAAAGCGTCAAAAGAGTGAGAGAGAGACGCGACGCGTTTGGGCCCACGTGAGCTTATCGATAAGGACCTCTCCACCTCTCCATTCGCCAGGGCTGTCGATGATCTTGTCGCACAGAATGTTCAAACGGCGCAAAGACCAGGACTCTGCTCAGCCATACAAGCGTCTTCGTACTCGCGATGCTGGGTCTGTGGACCGCCTGTCTCGCTTGAGTAATGAGCTCCTACTTCATATCTTCTCATTTCTGCCGGTTTCATCTCTGAATGTGTGCCAAAGGTAATACATTCGCTGTTGATCTAAATCTCAGTATTGGCACTGACTTGACTTTGCTACCAGGTTATCTCATCGGTTCCATGCTCTTGGTGGTGACTCGGAGCTATGGAAAAGGCAGTACTACTCAGAATGGGTACGACCTCGTGCCCGCCGGCTCGCAAATGTTAGACGTACAACACTCCCAGCCAAGACAGACTACTCGCCCAAAGTCGCAACATGGTTTGACCATGGTCACTTGGCACAGGAGGCCAAGACCAATTGGAAAAGACAATACCGGCTTCGGCATAATTGGTCCAGAGGACTATGCCGGTTTACTGAGGTCGAATTTCCTCAGCCGCCATGTCCTCCAACCCTGGTCAGATTTTGTGCTGGGGTTGTTTTCTCGGCAGACCCGGCGTACGGGCTCCGGGCTTGGCCTGCAAGGGACCCAGCATCTTGTATGGCAAGAGTTCCATTGACGGCTCATCCCAAAGGACCACCCGTAGCCCCAACGGCTTTGGCGGTAAGTCAGGTTCAAGACGACATCGAAATCTCAGTAGGATTGGGAAATGGCCATTTTAGCCTCTTCGTCTTGAACATTAGAACATCCGATCTGAGCTTTCAATCCTCTCATCTAGGTTGCGATGGTGCTATAACTGCAATGGCATTGTCATCGCCATACCTGTTGGTGGTATCCCAGCATAAAGATTTGACACTGTACAATCTGCGTCACGGAAGCCAGCGGGCAGGTAAAACTGGCGAGATTCAAGAGCCACGCCAACTCGCCTCCCTCAGGGCGGAAAATATCGTTGCACCCATGACTTTATCTCTTCGAGTCTCAACTTTTGATATTGTCGCGACTATTGTGTATAGCTTCTTTCATATTGGGTGTGGCTGGTCGCTGGGAATTCAAGAACTGCGCCTGGACAAGGATGGCCAACAACTTGACTCACGACTAGCCACTACGGTGGATTCACAATATGGGTTACGGCCACCGCAAGGGCTACCACAATCCCAAAAAAGACGACACTCAGCGACTCGGGCAGTCAACAGTCAAGGCGTCACCGCTGGAACACCAACCATCCTACACCAGAAACCGCCAACCTCTATGTCTTATTCTCACCCATATCTGCTGACCTCTCACGCGGACAACACATTGACTATGTATCTCGTGGTCTCTACATCCGACAATTTGTTTGTTCAAGGTGGCCGGCGCCTTTGGGGCCACACCTCTTCTGTATCCGCTGTTCAAGTGACGAATCGTGGTAAAGCTGTTTCAGTGAGCGCTCGAGGAGACGAAATTCGAATCTGGGAATTGGAGATGGCGATATCTACCTTGGGCAGCCGCAAATATTTCAAAGAAGAGAACGGGGTCAAGCTCAGCCCCGAAATCAAGCAGGATGAAGGCTCAGAGGTTGCCCCTGTCCATCACAACTTGGACAGAGTAGATCATGCCCAAGGATTATTGCAAGGTTGTGTTGGGTTTGACGAGGAGCGAGTACTGTTGCTCCGAGAGAAGACGGGAACACAGCTCCTTGGATGTTATGACTTTACATGAACTAATTCCACAGCCGTGAAAAAGGCAGGCCAACTCCACAGAAGCAAACATTTTGACGCGTGATTTGAGGATCGCAAAGCGGCCAATAACCCCGGGTTCAGGAATCCGGTCGTAGCACAAGGTACTCACCCCGGACTGGGGACCCTGGCAGGAGAGGGGGGTGGGGGGTATAAAAGACATGCTCGCCCTACAATTGGGCCACGGTTCCTGTGAATTTCTCACGACTCTCCGTACATCCGTACATCCAGAGAAAGGAAACGGAACACTCCAGATGTTTTAAGACGTGAAAGTTCACAGCGAGAAAATGAAGAGACAAAGAATGAAGAAATGAAGGAATGAAGAGAGATGGAAAATGGAAAATGCAAGGTGCTAGATCAAGGCCCAAAGCCCAAAGCTAAGCACTTCTCATATACTTCCCCTCCATATCCCAGATGAAAAGTGGTCGGGCGGTCAAGCGAGTAAGCTTGCGGGAAGATTTCTCCCCGCACTACAATTTTCAGGACTCAATTTTTTTTGACTTCTTCACTCTACACTTCTTCTCCAATATTTCTACTTAAAATGGATTTCCCTACCGGACGTGGCGGCTGCTTCAACTGTAAGTCCTTTCCCCCGGTTTCTCTGCTCTGAGCTTGATGCTTTTTCCGGATGACTTGGGATTTTTTCTATTCTTGGCCATTTGTACTGACTTTCTCTTCTCACAGGCGGCGAGGCCTCTCACCAGGTAATTATTACCTTTATTTGAATCTCTATATGGTTTAGACGATTCAATCTATAAAAAAAGAGGCATGAAGCTTATTTGATCATTCTAGGCCAAGGACTGCCCCAAGAAGGGTAATCCCACCTGGTAATCCCTCTTTTCCCGGTTGATATAATGTACAGGCTAATTTGTGTCTTCTATAGCTACAACTGCGGCGGTATGCTTCATCTCTCAGATACTGTCCATGGTTAGATACTTGGACCGGTTGGAACATTGCTAATCAGATCACTTTCCATTTCAGGCCAGGGTCACTTGAGTAAGTCGACGGACTCTCCCATTTCTGGACTTGACTAACATCTCAAAAGGCCGTGAATGCCAGGAACCCGCTAAGGAGAAGTCGTGCTACCGCTGCGGTCAGACCGGTCACCTTTCCCGCGAATGCCCCCAGGGCGGCGACAGCAACTACAGCGGCGGTGGCAGCCAGGAGTGCTACAAGTGCGGACAGGTCGGCCACATCGCCCGTCACTGCCCCCAGGGTGGTAACTACGGCGGCTACGGCAGCGGTTACGGTGGTGGTTTCGGCGGTGCCGGTGGCCGTCAGCAGACCTGCTACTCGTGCGGTGGCTTCGGCCACATGGCTCGTGACTGCACCCAGGGCCAGAAGTGCTACAACTGTCAGTGATTGCCTTTTGTGGATACGAGTATCTACTAATCTCATATTTAGGTGGCGAGGTTGGCCACGTTTCCCGTGACTGCCCTACTGAGGCCAAGGGTGAGCGCATGTGCTACAAGTGCAAGCAGCCCGGCCACGTGCAGTCCGCTTGCCCTAACTAAGGCCTTGCATTGCTGTTCGGTCGACATCTTTCTGCAGTTTCTACGGGATCGGATGACATTTATCTTGCATGCACGAAACGAATTTCTCTTTTTTTCCTGAAAATGTATGATTAGAGATCAACGTCTGGCAGGTTGACATGATCTACCTTATGATGCTCCCCGAGTTTGATTTCCGCGGGTCTTTTGATAACGCGCATAAAATGTGAAGCAGGGGACCCTGCAAATTCTCGTATTTACACCTGGTGCCTTTTGCGCTCATCTCGTAGATTGAAACGGATGTCAACCATATCTTGGTTTGAATGAAATTAATGTTAACGCTTGGTATCCAGATGTGAGATGTGTAGCGCGCATAGCTCGACTACGAGCTGCAGCTACATAGCATAGCCCTCTTGTACTTGGGAACGTCCCCACAGAAGCGCTGTTCCTCTTCTTTGTCGAGGCCCCATTCATCATTAAAGGGATTCAAGGACATTTGCATGACCCTTCCCAGAATCTCTCGGTCTCCTTTGTGTTCAACGCGTTCGATGACCTCATCAAGAATCCATCCTCGAGGCACAAACTAGATCAGAGAAGGGTCAGTCAACCTATACCAGAAGACAAAACGGAACGATCTTCAACATGCTCTTACATTTGGATTGACAGATTTCATCGCCTTTTGCCTTTCCTCGTCATTTTCTGGGCCCCAGTCTTCAAGCACACGAGCTCGCCAGCCATCAAGCCATTTCGCAATGCGTGCTCTCGCTGTGTCATCAGTGTAGCCAATTCCACCGAAACCTTCACTGTGGAAGAAAATCGAGGCTGCTTCCTTCCGGCCTTCTTCGGTTTCCAACTTGGACAGCGGCAACGTAGAGAGCCGGCGGAAAAAGTGGTTGAAGTCCAGCTCGAGGGCCTCAAGTGTGTCCAGCATCTCCGAAAAGAGGTCTTGGAAGTCCGACTCGACTTGGGTCTTCAGTCCTAGCCTCTGGCGCATCAATCGCTTGTATTCGTTCAGGAACACTGCTCTGAACTCCTCACCCGTGCGGTCAATGATGTTCTCCGCACGTGTGACGATTTCTGGTTCAAGATCCTCCGACACGCCATCTTTCACAAAGCTTTCTTCGTCGACTCGGTTTCCAGCTCCAATTAGTTCGCCCAGTGACTCACCAAGTCGAACCAAATTCCACCAAATGATGCTGGGCTGGTTCCGATAGGCATAGCGCAACATGTGGTCATCATGATTCGGGGTATATTGGGGATCGAAGTTGTCCATGAACGCGAATGGACCAAAGTCAAGTGACAAGCCGTAGATGGATGTATTATCCGTGTTGAGCACGCCGTTCATGAATCCGTAGGCCTGCCACGCGGCTACTGTCTTCGCGTTGCGGCGAGAAATTTCTCGATACAGCCTCGCAAATCGATTCTCCTGTATGTCCTGGTGGTCTTGGACTTCGTCCCGGGAGATTCCCCTTGGAGGATTGCCCATCTCCGTGGGAGATTGCTGTTCACGTACTGACACTATGGCAGGAAGAGATTCCCACCCACCAAAGACGTCTTCGGCAACATATGTTGCGAGTTTCCTGATGAGCTCACGATCTCCGCGAACACGAAGAAGATCAAAAGTGCCAATTCTCAACCAAGTCTCGGCAAACCGTGCAACGATTGCTCCAGGCTCAAGACGCTCACGCAATACCTTGGCATTAGGTACAGAGGTGAGTGAGAGTGCACGAGTAGTCGGTATACCAAGAGCGGATAGAGCTAGAGGTTCGTCAGTGGATTGCTCTCGAATTCTCACTGAGGTCATATACCTTCTGAGACCACGTATTCACGGATACTCGATCGGAGGACAGCTTTACCATCCGCGAAACGCGAATACGGTGTTCTGCCTGCCCCTTTTAATTGAAGCTCATATCGCGTGTTGGTGTGCGGGTTGGTGCACTCGAAGAGGCTGATTGCACGCTGATACAAATACCCTTTACGTTAGCCATATAGGCTGCATCATATGCGTGTCAACTTACCCCGTCTCCAAGCTGTCCGGCCCACGAACCGCTATTTGGTGTCAGTTTTAGAATACCACAATGAACCTCTAGCTATGGCTTACAATTGCCACCCTGTACATGTTAGAGTCCATGAACTCGATGATCAGAATACGGATACTTACCTCCATAACACTGGGCCCAAGGGTAAATTCCACCCTTCTCCTCATCCCACCAGAATTCATTCCCTGCGACTAGCGCTTTGAACTGCGCCGTTTGATCTTCACCGGGCTTTAGTCCCAAGTCTTTCATTGCCTTGGGACTAACACCTAGAAGTTCTGGTGCATCTGTCGGCTCCGGGCGGACATAAGTAAACAGTGCTCCTTTGACCATGCGGGGCCCGAGGGTTTCTCTCGGGGCCTTGTGTGAGATTTCTGGAGTCTCAAAAGCAGGATCAGGAGGCAGTTTAGACGTGAAGTTGTTTGATTTTGGCAGCTCAACCAAGGTAACCCCGGCGCCACTGGAAAAATGGGACGCCATCTGGCTCAAACGATTCCGAACTGGTGATCTGAAGTTGGGAAGCATACGAGTTGAGCAAGCGACTAGGTAATTCATGAAGAAACAGGCAGATCGAGCAGAATCGAAAAGAAAAGTGTAGCCCAGGTGCTATGAATGCGAAATGACATAATGTTGGCAATTATTAATCGCGACTTCCCGAGGCATACGCGGTAACTCCCCGCGACTATTTAAGACTTCATGTATATTCATCCTTCTTCTTCTTCTTCTTCTTCATCATCATCATCATTATGGCAGGCACTATTGAGATTATTCCCACATCAGAGCTCAATGACGGTACCTCGGTTCCCGTCGTAAGTGTCTTGCCCTCCTACATGGAGTGTTGCTGATAAATCCAGCTTGGATATGGCACCGGCACCGCCTGGTATAAGACGTCGAGAGACAGTGGTACCAACCGTGACTTGGTCGATTCAATCAAGGCGGCAATCAAACTAGGATACCACCACCTCGACGGAGCTGAAGTCTACAAGACCGAGGAGGAACTCGGATTGGCAATTAAAGAGAGCGGTGTCCCTAGAGAGAAACTCATCGTGACGACCAAAGTCATTACCAATATCGCTGATATTCCTCGGGCCATTGACACCAGTCTACAAAAGCTCCAACTTGATTACGTGGACCTGTTAGTCAATCTAGACGAGTGCGATGGACCTGAATTGACGATGATTTTAGGTACTTAATCCATGCTCCGTTCTTTGCAATTACCGAGGCCCAACTCCAGGCTGCCTGGGCTGCCATGGAACAAGTCAAGGAATCTGGAAAGGCTCGCTCCATTGGCGTATCGAATTTCCTGCAGAGTCATTTGGAAACCATACTCAAGACTGCCAAAACTGTGCCATCTGTGAACCAGATCGAGTTCCACCCGTACCTCCAGCATGGAAATCTGGTTTCTTTTCACGAGAGCAAAGGCATCAAGACTGTCAGTTACTCTGGCCTGACACCGACTACTCGTGCTAAAGGTGGGCCTCTGGACCCTCTGCTTACCTCCTTGGCGACCAAGTATGCCGTCAGTGAGGCAGAAGTCTTGCTGCGCTGGACTATTGACCGTGGCTGTGTAGCCATTACAACCAGTGGCAAAGAGTCGCGCATGAGCAGCTATCTCCGTGCGCTGACGTTCAAGCTAACACCTCAGGAGGTCGAAGAGATCTCGAAGATTGGCGAGCAGAAACATTACCGAGCATTCTGGCGGGAGAAATATGCGGAAGATGATCGATCATAGACTATCAAGATCAATACAATACAATAGCAATAGTATCAACTATATCAACAACATGAAGTCATAATTATACCAATACCAACAATATACCATCTCCATGGCTCAATTGATGGATAGATCAAGAGCAATGGAACAATACAGTACAATACCCCCGTATTGATAAGATAAGCACCGGCCCGTCACGTACGGACCGTACTCCATCTCCAGTTCCTTTGAATCGGGGACATCTCCCACCTTTATTATCCTCTCTTTCTTGCTTCTTTTCCCTTTGTGGCTTACTTCTTGATTCTCTTTGTCTTTTCCATCCCTTCATTGTGCTCGATCTCCCAGGGTTATGGGATCACTCCCCCCACGCGCAAGAGTAATAGGATGCCCTGATTATTCGTTCTCTCAAGGCCCGCTCTTGTCTACTCTCCTTCGCTTGACTCGATGCTTTGACCACCATTCGGTAACTCGTCTCGTCGACTGGGTGGAAGAACAAAGGACTCGGTGACACGCTTCGGCTTAGCCTGTGAAGCGCGTTTGATACTGGCATCTTTGGTGGAGGAAGTTGCGAAACTCTGCGCACTGCCATGTCGGTGAACGAGAACCGCTATACTCAAAACACCACGAACCCCCGAGCTACAAGCTCTCCTACCTTAGACCACGAAGCGCTTGACCAACGATTGAAGCGCCTTTCCGAAGAAGTCCTTCCGTCCGTACCTTACCTTCTCACTCTTCCTACCAATTCGCCTTTTCGACAGGGGAACCGGTGCGAGAACCATTGGGCGGTAGGGCATGACAGACCGTTCCGTCATCAAGAGCAAGAACTTCAGTATATGACCTTCCTGGCACATCACAATACGGATTCGCTACTTGTCGCTGTTGGGGATTGGTCAGATGAGACGGGGCGCATGATGGACGATCGACCAACGGCCCCAAGCACCACAGAAAATCCAAGGGAATCAGTGGTCAGGAAGAAGATCAGTCTCAAGGATTACAAGAATCAGAAGAATAACGGTCCCATCGCATCTCCTCTGGGCCCCGAACCAAGTAGCCGCAGTACATCAGACTTGCCCCAATCCGAAGAAAAACGACAGACAACAGGTTCGGAACCACCCAAGAACCCTGATAGGGCAGAGGCACCACAAATGCCACTAAGGTCTGACACGCGCCTTTCTCCTGAAAGGCTGGGCCAGAAACGGCCATCTGGCTCGGACCATGAGCTCCTCAATCCTCGAGGGACCAAAGATCCTGCAACCCATTCTCCCAAAAAGCCGCGTCTATCTCCTGGTAAAGAAACGCGCCGAGACCCCAGCCCTTCGAAATCGCACTCTCCCAAGCTCCCCGCGCTTCTCTCGCCCACCCTCCCACCAACCTCAAGTGGCCCCAAGCTTCCACGTTTGTTGTCTCCTACACTGCCGCCAGACATTGAAAAAGAACTGGCCCGCCTCGAGGATCCTTCACCACAACACAATAGCCGACCAGGTGCGGCAGAACAGGTATTACCTGTGAAAGATTCAAATATCCATGATCATCCAAAGGACAATGCTCGGCCTAGCGCACCCAAGACACAACTCATTGCCAAACTGAGATACGGGAGAGCGAATAGGAAACGGGTTGAGGCTTTGCTCAAATTTTCTGGTAAAATGAAAACGCATCGGTCAGATTCGCCAGTCAGCCAGGATACCGATCGCGACGACACCTCCAATTCCAGGAAGAAGGGAGGGGAAACGAGTTTATTCCGCGGGAATGTTCTGTCTGGGGGTTTGAAAAATAAGACCAAGCACGAGACCGACGAAGCCCTTGGTCCTCATGATAGTCGCTCAAGGGAGCCGAAAGGTCTCACGGAAAAAGCCCGAACTCCCGTCTCACAGCCATCTGTGGCTTCCCATGCACACGAAAAAAATAAACCCGCTGCAACCACGCCGAGAGACCGCAAGACGTCTGCCTCACGCCAGATTGACCTCGGAGAGAGTGATGGCAAAACACCCTCTCATCCTGCTAACAAACGACATTCCGTTGACACTGGGATAGTTGCGAAAGCATTTCCATCTCAGTCTGATAATCGATCGCGTGAGCGCCGAGCCTGGCGGGATGAGTGGCAAAAGTTTTCAACCATCGGCCGTGAGTTGAAACATGCCGCGGACCGACACAACGCCAAAAATGGAGCCTCTTCGGTGGATGAGAAGCTCGCTGCTGTGACTGCCATTGAGGCATTGCTGTCCTTCATTCTAGCCTTTGTGGCGGACGATCAGTCCAAAGCTGTATCACGCCAAGTTGGAGACTCCTCGACATGGCTGTCTATCGTGCCATACTGGAAGGTGGTAAAGAAGCTGACTGCGCCCTATCCGGCGCTATCAAATCTTTGCTTACTGCTTGGTGCCGTCTCATTTAATGCTATCCACGCACTTGATCTTGAACGTCTCGCCATAAGCCCAATTCCTGGGGACCATACTCCAGTGCCCACACCTGGAAGTGACGGCAACGCGGTTTTGTCGGACGAAAACAGAAAAGCCAGGAAAGAGTTCTTGGATCTGAAGAACCGTCTTCCTGAGTGCTACAAAGAGTCTCAAAGATTGTGGCTGGAAGGCACACGTGGCCTCTCTGAAGATATCCTTGCCCGTGAGTTTCCTACGAGCTGGTCTCAACGATCTCGAAATTACTCAGAGCGAGGTCGAGCATCACTCAAAGCTGGCGATTATTCCGGGAGCTATTTCCTGCCACTAGGTGGTACGACTCCCCCCATCGAAGTGGTTCGTTTTGGGGGGTCCCTACTCAAAGAATGGTGCTCGAAGGAACGGGTGGATTGGAATGGGCGTCTCGGTCTCTAACTTATCCCTCATCTTCTACAGTCTCCATGCTGGCTCATCATGGCATCTTGATAGATTTTTTCTATCTTTTCCCGTGCTTTTCCTTTATCCCTTCATGATACCACGAGCCCTGGATTTCATGTAGCTATTTGCAATTCGAATACCACAGGGCATGCAATCTACTGATCAATTCCCCTGCCAAGGCGAGGTGCTTGAGTGTGTTGTGTAGATTAGAAGTAAATCTGTAAAGGAAACCGGCTCGTCAATTCCTCCGAATTCAATGTCGCTAATATATGGAATGGAAATATCATAATCGCTCAAGTGTACAGAGAAATTGTGCAAATGTCATCATGATCGTGGAAACAAATGCGTCGCCCAGAGCTTATAAAAAATGATAACTTGACCTAAACCTCCTGGTACTCGGGGCCGAAACGGGACTGCGAGTCGCCAAAGAGCCAGCCAGCCTCACGGCAATATCGAGCCTCTCGGCCATATATGCCAACCTCACTGGCCCAGCAAATCACGGCCGCGTCGACAATATCAGCAATGACACCTTCCATCGCACCCAGTATGGTCCATCCAATCGTTCCAGCAATGAGACCGACCACATAGGCATAGAGACTGCCACGAATTGTGCCACCACTAGCAGAAGTTGTCAGGCTCCTAGCAGTGGTCACCCAGCCGCCGAAACCCAGAGCCAGCGACATCATGAAACGGGTAGCATAAAGAATCAGCTTGGAAAGTCGATAGGACAGAAGAGACGCCGAGTTCCCGGAAGGATAGGAACGGGAGCGTAAAGAAGTCGAGGCGGCTGATGGGGCAAGCACGGTCATTTGACTTAAGCCTCGCGATGAAGCAGCAAGTGGCTGCGAATGGATAGCGGCGTAGGTGAGTGAAAGCGGGTTGGTCAAATAAGTAATAGGTGTGGGAACAAGTGAATAGGCAAATAGACTGATTAGTGAGGAGATTCGACCTGGTAGCAATAGAAGCGGAAGTCGAATCAATAGCCCCAAAACTCTGGATAGCGAAATCGTGCCAAAGAGAGTTGTCACAGCATGGACGATGGCTGCCTGGACAATCTGCCTCGAGGTTGGTGCAGGTGTAGTCAAGCGGTGGAAATACCACTGGCTTACCGTTGCGGCGGTGACAGCACGCTGGATGCCTGCAATGACGCCGACTGACCACAGATAGACTATGACAAAATAGACGCCAAGCCACCAGCTGCTCAAGTCGATAATGAAAGATCTCGGGCCAGCGTGACCGCCTAGGAAGACGCGAGTGAACATCAGCATCCAGATCCATGTCCAGGACACCACGCAAACCATGGCCCCTAGACCAAGAGCAAGCAGCTCGGGATTGGCAGCCAAAATTCGACAAGCAAATTCAAGAATACCTATCGCCTTCCCGATAGATTGACGGCCATGGACAACATTGTATATCCACATCGTGGCCATTAAGAAAGGAAAAGCGGAGCCCCATCTCATCGCTTTGTCTTGTATACTTGATCCAAGCCATGGTCCCTTGAAACTTGAGATAAAAGGGTACAAGGAAAATGAGAATAGGATGACCGGAACAGCGACGATGATCACGTGGACTAGGAGTCGCACATAAGACCTTAACAAGGCTAACCAGAGAAGAGAGACAAGAACCGATACAATAGTATAGATTCCGAGGAGAAAGAAGGACCCATGGACGGTCATGTATATTGTATCGCCCCATTTCGATTTGTCTCCAGATGGGGTAGATGTGTGAAGATACACAAGGAATGCAGAGGCAAACAGTCCAGCGAGAGATATCAAGAACAGCTGGCCCCAAAATGCATCATGAACTATGGTTTCTGAGGCCAGAGGAGATACCGAGGCTGGAAATGAGCTTGTCGAGCTGGGTGGTCGTGGGACATCTTGCGATAGGAGACCGGCCTGTTCAGTAGGCCCCAAAGGGCTGATCCCGGAGATGTCCCTCGTTGAACCTCGCTCTCTAAATCGTTGAATGGGTGGATCGCGGCCACCGGGACTGGGTGGCACCTGGTCCTCCTCAGCGTCGGCTCGTAAAGAATCCTCAAGACCGACATCGACCAGATGGCCTCGGACCTTGCTACTGCTGGGGCTAGTTTGAGATCCATGGCCATGCTCTGCTACCTCTTCCACGGGCTCAATCGGAAAAGGGCGGGCAGAAGCAACGCTCTTCTCACCACGCCATGAACTTTTGATTCCTTTCCCGTTACCAGGACGGTCATCATACGGTGAATGCCCCTCATCGAATCCTTCTGAACGTTCAGAATCATCAAGTTCCGAGGAGTTCTTCAAGTTGCTGTCACCAAACTGCCTCCTTGATCGTTGTAAGGCGTAGAAATCCGCTATTTCCCGCTCACGTTCCGTCTCGTCATCTTCTTCTCGAAATTCATCGGTGGCACTGAAAAAGAGGGGAGCTTGGGCCGGACCACGGGAAGCAAAGGCGAAATGAGAGGTTTGAGATGTACCAGGTCGATATGGATCACTTGGCCGTAGGAAAGACCGCGACGAAGGATGACGTGGGTTCCCTTGATGTTGTTGATTGGGGCGACTACGGCCCGTTCTTTGAAGGTCATCCGGGCTAGACGCTACCCTCGACTGTGACTGGGCAAGGAAGCGTGAGGCATCTAGGATGAAACGTTAGCCATGCATTTCAGAACTCAAGGTCTCCTGGTTCCTACATTCAGAGAACATGGCCTGCTGTCGCAACAACAGAAAATACGGTGAGCGGACCGGAGATGTTCACAGCTCACCAGGGAAGACAATAATCAAGGGGTTATAAGAGGAGGGGAGAGAGAGAGAGAGAGAGAGAGAGAGAGAGAGAGAAACAGAGTACAAGGCTTGATATTTGAGGTAAAATCTAGGGAAAGGGAGAAGAAAACCCCAAGGACGTGTGAAGTCTACGATAGGACATGGGTCACGCAGCTGATGAAAGCGTCATACGGGCACGTCAGGCTTGATAGATGACTCAGCTGATAATCACCTTTCAACTACATTGCCATCTCCGCTTTCTTTCTCATCTTCTCTTGATCTGCTCTCTCCATGTCACAGCCATGGGACTATATTGCTAAGCTTGTCTGCATTGGTGACTCTGGCACTGGCAAGTCCAGTGTATGTACCTATCTCTTGACGTTACGAGCTGCACTAACCAAACAGTAGCTCACCATCCGACTTTGTGAAGGCCGCTTTTCTCCATCGCATGATGTCACTATTGGGGTCGAGTTCGGATCGCGGATCGTGCCAGTTGGTCCTCCGGCCTCACTAGAGCTAGAGCTTGATGGGCTTTCTCCTGGGTCGCCTCCGGCAGGCGATACACCAAATGCGCCAACCGCCTCCGGTCTCCCTACTCCGCCACGAAAGCCACAGGACCCTCCCAATCAGAAACGCATGAAACTTTCCTTGTGGGACACCGCTGGACAGGAGACATACAAGTCCATCACACGCTCGTATTTCCGAGGTGCTTCCGGCGCGCTTCTAGTGTTTGACATCTCTAGACGATCAACTTTCATTTCCTGCACCCAGTGGCTTCAAGATCTACGGCAAATTGCTGAAGATGGCATCGTGGTGATCCTGGTCGGTAACAAGACTGATCTGACTGGGGCAGATTCTGGGTCAAATCAAAGGCAGGTTCCCCAGCAGGAGGCTGAAGAGTGGTGTCGTATGAACAATGTGGTCCGCTATATCGAAACGAGTGCCAAATCTGGGGATGGTGTTGAGCGCGCGTTTCTGGAAGTTGCTGAGAGAATCTATCGCAACATTGAAGCCGGGAAATATGACCTTAATGACCGGCGAAGTGGGGTGAAAGGATTCGGCGCCTCGGGGGGAGCAAACGCAGGGGTGCCTAGGACCGTAACTTTGGGGGTGGACGACGCCATGCGCAAAGGCGGCAATGGTTGGACTGGGGGATGCTGCTAAATCCGGTCTGCGGGAATCAGAGTCGGCACCAATGTGGAATATCCACAACATGCGCATCTGGCTGAATCAAAATAAGCATCTGCCTTGCACAGAGGCCACCTTGAACATTGTTGAATTACTGCTCATCTAGCGTCACTACTAGGGAGATATATGCTTAATCTCTAATGGCATCTTCATTGCATTTTTCCGTCAAACCATGTACCACTAAAGGAGAGGCAAAAGGAAAGTAGAATTATCTGTGTTGATACAAGAATCCACGTAGGCGTTAAAATCCATTGAGAGCCTGAGGGTAGTCAACACCACCAATCAAGCAAAGAGCACATGCGTGGGGATTGTTCTGGAAATCCCACGCTTAGTTCGAAATTTTCCATCCGGGCAACCAACGCAAGTGAGTCCATTGCTGGTTAGAGCCCTCCATTCCAAACACAATGGCTCGGAAATGGACGAACAGCCCAATGATTACCACATAGAGCAACGCATACAATGCCGCAGCGAATCTAGGATTCATCCTGCGTGTCACCCAATCAACGCAAAATCCAAAGGTCAGGATTGCGTAATAGAGAGCCGGGTAGTAGTGATGGACGTAAGTGACACGCGCCATGATAATGAAGGGAAGATAGTGCAAAACCCATCCAATGGCCGGGTACAGGCCAGAGTAGTGAATATGACGGATATCCTCGTCGCTCAGGTCTTTGAAACCTCTCTGCCAGCGCAGAATGTGCCAAAGGAAGAGAAGGCCGAACCCGCCAAGACCAGCAGTACTTGCCCAGTAGACGAATGGGTTTCCAAGAAGATAGTACTTGACCACGTTGTCGTCCCAAGAGCACATGCGCAGGCCAACATTGAGAATTGGCCATTGCCAGAACTTTGATGCCAAATCATCCTGCTTATCGGGGTCAGGAACCAGGGCATTATTGGAAGTCATCATAGCCACATTCAGATGGATGAAGTCCTTCAAGAAAGGCGATTTATAAGAGCCAGGGTCACCAGGAGGCACTATATACAGTCAGTAAGTCCTGCTGGGCTCGCGAAGTGTAGGGCTTAGATCTGTAACGTACAGCGTTCATTGGTATGAGACTCAACGTTCCAGTGGGTATATACGTCACTAGGTTTGTTCTCTTTGGTACAAGTTGTTTCAATCTGTTTGAAGCCCCACTGGGGTAGATTGACGTTTCCTGCCCGTAGATAGCATCCTAGGACTGGATGGCGGAGCCGGAATGCCGTTGTTAGCGTTCGAATTCTAGACCGGTCTCTTGATGCAACATCATCAACGACTTCCACTTTCCAGTGGTCTTTATCGTCGCCAATCGTAATGTTTCCATAGGAAGACACTTCATGATGAGACTTGGTGATTGGTGCAGGGATAGCATGAGAATGCAGGTTGCGACCAGTCTGACCGTGGATAAGGCGAATGACATCGCCGTCGCCAACAAAGCGTAGATCAGCAGTGGCATCATAGTCGGGTTCCTGTCGATTAGGGTAGATAAACCAATCATTGTTCGCATCTTTGTGGTGGTAACAAGTGACCTGTTGCTGCATAGATCCCTCCGGGAAAGTCTGGACATGGGAGTGCAAGAGTCCTCCTCCATATCCCATGTTCTTGAGAGTGATACGCGATCCAATTGCAAGCTCAAGAGGACTATCCCTACCGACCTCGGTGCCTCGCAGGTTGGCTTGGAAGAGTGAGCTCATCTGGGCATCACCTGGACCACTGTTTGCTAGCACCAAAAAGTGCAGGTAGAAAGAAAACATGTAAACCAAAATTGGAATCACAATTAATCCCACAACACGAGCGACTAGATGCTTTGCAAGAACCGTCTGTCAGGCGCATGACGTATTAGTTTGCTACTCGATGGAGACGTGAAAGAGCCAAGTGATAGCCGGTACTCACCTGAGGCATCTTCAGGTCGCCAAATTTATTCCACAGGTCATCAACAGTGTACAGACCCACAAGAGCAGTGCAGAAGAAACCGACCCATTTAACACTGCAGACGCAGCCAATGCTCAGACCAGTCAGACAGAGCCAGGTGTACCATTCCAGCGAAAAGCTGTCACGTTGCAAGCGATGGAACCTCGCCCAGCACATTGTTGTGGTAAATGTGAAGCAGAGTAGCATAGAGTCAAGAAGGATAAACCGAGAGATTGTCGCATAAGAGTTCTCAAATAGCACCATCAAACTGATAAGCCATACGGCGGCTCGGCGAAGGTTCAATTCCCGGGCAGTGTAGTAGGCCAGGGGAACACAAATGATACCAAAGGCAGCATTGAAGGCTCGCATAAAGGTGTAGTTCACATCCTCTGGATACTTCTCGCCAGATTTGAACTCAAAGGATCCATTGTAACCAGCAAGATAGCCAGACAATCCAACTAGCATCTTTCCCAGAGGTGGGTGAACATCGAAGTAGAACTCGCGTTTGAGGTAGTGGGATCCGAATTTACCGAAGTGAGCTTCATCCCACGTGACAATGTTGGAGCGTCCGATTCGATACAGGCGAGTGAAGAGGGCGAGAGCTGTCAAAATGATGGGAGCAATGATCGGCTCCCAGCCAGCAAGCACATGGAGGAATGAGGGGGACTGTCCAATAGGTTTAATAAGAAAGATATCCCAGCAGCTAAGGGTCAATCTTACCTGGGGGCTAGATTTCTTCGTGTCTTCATCGGCAGTCTCACTTAGAGACGCCGAGTTGCCTTTGCCAGCACCAGGGACATTTCTCCGACGCAGGTTAGAGTCCTGTTTGGCGGCTGTGCTCACAGCAGTGTCTAGCGCTGCCATATTACGCGCTGGACTAGTTCAGCCAACCGAAGCTGTGCTCAACAGATGCAGCCGGGAGGGTAAGAGAGAGAGGGCGAGAAAGAGACAAGAGGCGTGACAATAGTCGGGAGTAAAGAGGATGGTTCAAGGGAACATGTCCATTCCCGGGGTAAATGAGTGGTAGGGCTGGAGCAAAGCTAGCGGGATCGCCGAAAGCAATGCTAGAGTAAATCAAACAGTAAATAAGAAGGGAAAGAAGTGGAAAGGAAAGGAGAAGGGAGAATGGCAGAAGAGAGAGAGAGAAGAGGTGTTCCGTGGCCTCAGGATAAACAGTCCACTTTTAGCCCGAGGGGCCGTTTTCAGAACGTGGCCCTTCCTCCTGTCTTCCGTTCACATTCTTCTCTGCATTTACACTTTATGTGTTATTAATCGATGAAAATGGACGAATCTCATATTTTTAGCTCTAGACCAATTCAGGGGTACATATATATGTACTGTAACATTCGAGTTCTTTACGACCTATTTTACTCAGATTGTACACATCCTCTATCAGTTACAAAACCTGTATACCAGAATCCAAACTGACATATGGCAATGCAAAGGGATGAAACAAAGACAACTCAGATATATACCGGCATCACAGAAGTATTAAAGGAGAGACGAAGCATGCTACCAAGAGGTGGCTGTTTCACTTCACCTACCCGCTGACCAGGGCAAGAGATTGACAGCATTAAGTTTCATTGCTCATCTCCCTCTCCTTGCTCTAGGCGCCGATACTGACTGCTGCTAGCTCCAGGGCCTGATCCACGGTTTCGGTTGACCATGCTCGAGATCCAGCCACCAATGCCCTCATCTCGAGCATTGCTCTGCCGCGAGTTTGAGCGCCCACGCTTGCTGGGGCCTTCCTGGTTCAGTGTCGGCGGGTCAATGTCTAAACCAGGAATGGCATTTTCTGTGCTAACTTGGCCATACTGTCGGCGTAGGTCAAGCGAGGGAACGGGTGATCCAGCACCCATCAGCGACCCTCGTTCACCTTGCGTGGCGGGTGTAGGCATGGCAGTAGAAGCGTCGCCAAATAAGATATTCATATCTTCTAGGCGAACCCCACTCGTTTCGGGATACAGGAAGTAGACTAGGAACAGTTCAGCTTCATGGCCCCTGTCAGATGTTTGATGGGTAGGTTCTTACCTAGCACAAAACTGCATGCGCAAAAGAATGCGTGGACCAAGTAGAGCCGCCACTTTATAGCAGCCTGAAGGACCGGGGTGACTTCACCCACAAGCCAATTGAATGCCCAATTTGAAGCAGTGCTCAAGCTTGCACCCTTGGCACGAATGCTCAAAGGCAGAATCTCGGGTGGGTATAGCCATGGAATTGGGCCCCAGGATGCTCCAAATGCTGCATTGTAGACCATGACGAATATGACTGTGAGGGTTGGAGTTGCAGGGATCTCAATGTAAATGAAATAAGAGATCAGAGACAGGGAAATGATCATGGCCACGGCACCTGAAAGAAGAATGGGTCGCCGACCCCAACCATCCACAAGATACCATGGCGGTACAGTAGACAACAGATATGAAATACCATTGATTCCAGTCATGAGGATTGCATCTCGCCCCGCCCAGCCAGCCTATAGTAAATACGCGTCAGCATAAGTTAGAATAGGGCCCCTTGCCTCTTGGCAAAGTCCGTGTGGGCAGATCTGCAGAGCGGCAGAGGATATTCATACCGATTCAAACACGAGAGGTGCATAGTATGAGATGACGTTGATTCCATTGAGCTGGGCAAGCGCTTGAGCAGACATTGCGATCAAAACACGCTTGCGATACCGATGAAACATATCAGAATAGGATCGCTCGCCTTCCTGTCGCTGGACAAGGACATTCATCTTGATCTCACGATACTCTTGGCGTGCCTTGTCACTAAGTAGGTCGCCTTCGCCATAGAGATTAGCAATCACCACCATGCCCTCTTCGTCATGGTCATTGTCGAGAAGCCACCTGGATGGAAGGCTCATTAGCGTGGAAGGGAGAGGCATATTTTGTTTCGGCTCACCTAGGTGATTCACAGATGATCAAGCTACCGAAGCCAAGTAAAGCACCCATGATGCACTGGAAAAGCAGCGGGAGGCGCCAGGAGTAGTCGTTGTCAATAAAGCTACAAAAGTAATCCACCCACACGCTGGTTGCATATCCAGCTATATTTCCGGTGAATTCAATGCAAGCAAGTTTGCCACGGTTGTGAGGAGGCTGTGTATTGATCAGCATATCGGAAGTAGAAGATGAGGAAATAAGAAGAGGGTAATACCGAAATTTCAGACTGATAGACTGGTACAATAGTAGAAAGGGCACCAACGCCGAGACCAGCAATAACACGACCAACCATCATCATTGGGATGCCTGTTGCAAATGTCTGGAAAGCACCACCAACAAAAAACACAATGGAGCCATAGAGAATGGTCCTTCGACGACCAATCATATCACCGACTCGTCCCACAAGTAGAGATGATATAAAGGCGCCAACTTCAAGGACTGCAACTACAGTACCAATGGTAGCCCGAGAGGGCTGGTCGAAGTAGTCTTTGAAGTACCAGCCACTGTGCTTGTTAGCTACACTCTGACCAGACATAGTGGAATAATAGCCGAGAGCTAGAGCAGAAGGGGCACACGAACGTTATGATTCCAGACATCACACCCTGGTCATACCCAAAAAGGAATACACCCAGAGAGACAAACACACTGGTAAAATAACTAAACGCATACCAGAGTCAGCGAGGCTGGTACAATGTGTTCATCTCCAAGACTTACAGTAGTGGTTTACCGACTAAGCCATGTATTTGGGCGTTTTGCCCACTTCTGGGTGACATTATTGTTGCCAGCACACGTTCAGCTCTTGAAATATGCCGCGGAGGAGGAGTTGGTATTCGTATTTTCTCGATGTCGATTCCAGACCGTTCGTTTTCGTCTGAATGATAATGTACGTGCCTCTGTTTTCTTCGCCCTCTTCCGCCTAGAAGCTCACGGTCCAAGGATTTGCGAAAGTGATCCTGGAGCGGATCCTCGGCAAACTGCTCGGCGAGGTCGCCGGTATCTGGCCAGATAGAGAAGCCAGACTCGACCGAGCGAGCAGACGAGCGGGAAGATCGTCGGCTGCCTTTTTCACTGGCGGACTCTAGCACAGCTGATTGTGGGAGGGAATCGGAGTATAGGGTACGGAGGGGTATGCTGGAGGCGCGTGGGGAGGAAGTGGTTGGAATGATGGCGGTGACGGGCTGATCTCAGCCCTTGAACCGGGAAAAAGAATGTCAGGGAACTATGGAACTATATCGATAAGAGTTCCAGGGTTTCTCCGCAAGGAGCCAGAGATGTACTAGTCGCAATAGGGCGACGCCACTTGGGCGATGCTGTAAAGGCAAGTCGCACGGGATCGACGCAAGATGACGGGTTTCAGGGTGGTCAGGCGGAGATCCGGGAGAGAGGGGGTGCGTTTGGGCTTCTCTCCAATACAAAAGAATACCCGAGTTCAGATGACTATGATCAAGTGATGAAGGTTTTTCTATCAAGAGAATAGGGGGAGAAAGCAAAAGGAAAAGAGCTGGGAATAATAGGGGAGACCTCGTATATGAACGCATACGTATTGAATCTCTCTAATCCGGGGAGGGATCGACGGTTTCGTTACTATTTATGGAATCCGCCTATCCTCCATACAACCTCATGTGTTTTTACCACAGAGTAGATAAATGGATATATGTACCTTGTAGACTTCGTCCTATTGGAAATTCAAAGAAAATCTAGCCGGAATCTTACTTTCGGTGATTAACGTGAGACAAGGTCCAACAGATGATTACTACGGCCTCGTTCACGAAATACACTGGTTGATAAATTTCATATTTATATGCCTGGAGATGAAAACAGGGTATCATATATAGCTACATGCAATCGCGAGTCTATTTAACATGTTCATGTTTCAAAGATCGTTTCTGAAATGTAAGATCCAATCAAGGATTTGGCATGGAGGGTATTCCTAATTGAGAAGAATGTCATATCCATCACTCTGGATGTGGACAGCATCCGCCAGACTAGCATACCGTCGGCGGACCAACTCAAAAATCACAAGACCAGCACTGGTGCTAGGAACTTGGCGAATCGAGCTCCCAACAAAGCCACGGAACAGCCAGGGGCGCCAGCCCCCAGCCCGCTTGGCCTTTCGCTCACACCTTTTGAAGGTCTCTTGGTAGGCGTGGTAGTAGAGTTGCATCATTTTTTGCCGCGAGGGGATGAGGCTGGCGTGGTGATCTAAATACTCCAGTCGACCTAGATGAAGGTCTTGGATCCTGCTTAGAGGGTGTTGTATAGCTTGCTGGGCAATCGATGCCACAACACCCGCCATCATTAGGAAGCAAGGCTCCAGGGAATAGTGGGGTTTGATGAGTGGCACTCCACGGTCGCTGGACCCTGACGATGGAAACATGTCCACATGCTCAGATCGTAGAGACCCGTAGTACCAAGTAACGAAAGAATAGTAGGATTGTGACTTGATATACTCAAACGAGGAGAAGAATATGGCATATCCAAGGGAATCTCGCAGAAATGAAAGACTCCAGCCTGCAAATACCCCGCGCGGGCCGATTTGTTTGAGCTTATGATGGCCATAATGCCACATGCTTCGATACTGGCCCTTTAGCATATCATTCGTCTGTAAGCGAACCTGCAAGGCATCTAGAGGGGCAGCAACAATCGATTGGATGGTCCCAGCGGTAAACCCAGAAGCAAATGTTGCCAAGGGAGGAGCTGGGGGCCAGACTCGCTTGACCCCCTGAGACACAGGTTCGTGCAGAGCCCCCAAAACCTGGAGATAAGACGTGTAGAGGACCGCGCCAACCCTGTTGGCATTACATTAGAGTCTTAAACATATGAAGTGATATAATTGACTCACCCTGCATTTGCCATCAAAGGTGGTAGGACTTGATTGGGGATAAAGCGCCAGCCATATGTCCGTACAGCATGGAGCAACAACCCCGGGGTTGTCGTATGAAGAGACCATTTGCCTTCGGCAACACGAGGATTCACAGCTCTTGCAAAGGCCTGTTTCAATAAGAAGACATCAAGAGCTAGTGATTAGTTGATCGAACCTCTGACCTATTGCGGATTGTTGGAGGAAATAGATACCATATAACTAAGGTATGTCAGTGCATCCACCACCACGAAGATCCATAGAGGTCACGTACTCAACACGCGTACGAAAAAAAGCTTTAATTGGTGCTCTGAAATAGAAAGCTACCATCTGCGCACTAAGAGCCCGAACACCCGCAGCAGATGCACCCGTGGCTGCATCGTTTCGAGAAATCCGCCGTGGATTTCCCTGCTCACCAAGATGGGGCTCAAGAATTGGAGATATAGAGGACGTCATTGTTCACAGCCGCTCATAGGCCCAAAAAACCCAACGCAAGGAGGAGAGGGAGAGTGAGAGCTTTCTTTCTCAGTGAGATTTAATCACTATCGACAATAATTCAATAGGGCGTAGGCGGAGAAAGAATGGCAGCATCAGAGGTGTTTATATCCAAGTCGAAGAACCAAATGAAAGCTTACACATGACATTTTGGCCTGCAAATAGAGGGAAAGAAGGTGAAAGGTCAACAAAGGACTGAACAAGCACAAGTGATCAAATAGATCAAGAGACAGAAGACCGGAAGATGGAGGCAGAAAAAAAGCGCTAGGACTAAAGAGGAAATACTTTGACACGGCAACCCAGTGAGGCCTACAACGTAAAAACGCGCTTTTCGCGTCGCTTGCCAGCCTTCACTTTCTATCTCCATCCCTCTGCTCCATTGGTGTTTATAGCATCGATGCTGCCTTCTTTCTTCCATCTGCCCTGATTTTCAATCCTACCTTACAATTTTCTCGTGTCACTAGTAGCTCCTACCTCTCTCACTGAGCTCCCTCACCATCCGCCCAGTCTCTCTTGCTGCGGCAAATCTTACTCACATCAGACCGCAACCATGGCGGAAGAGATCGCCATTGACAACAATAACTTTTTCAATCGCCTCTCCAATTTCTATGCATCATGGAAGGCTGATAAGCGCTCGGGAAATGCACTCTTCGGCAACGCAGGGTCCATCGTCATTCTCATGGGCAAGACTGATGAGGAGAACTCATTCCAGAAGAATAACGCCATGCATGTATGTGATACACCTTCCTGTGTCCCATCATTTATCTGGGATATATCAGAAGCCTTGGCGTGTTGCTAACTGGACCTAACCTCAGTTTTGGCTTCTCGGATATGAATTTCCAGCCACACTTTTTGTCCTCACAACCGAAGCAATTTACGTGGTCACCACCGCCAAAAAAGGTACCTTGCTACAACTGTCTTAATATAGGCCACATTTCTAATGAGTTCTTATTCCAGCAAAACACCTGGAGCCGCTGAAAGGCGGGAAAATTCCAGTCGAGATCCTGGTTACCACCAAGGATCCAGAGTCAAAGTCCAAGGCGTTCGAGAAGTGCCTGGATGTTATCAAGGGTGCAGGAGTGAGTTTTTATACTGGAGGAGGCTCCTTCGGAAGCCTCCATTTCGGATCGATGCCCCTGTTTCTAACCAGGAGAACAACAGAACAAAGTGGGTACCTTACCAAAGGACACAACCTCGGGACCCTTCGCAGACGAATGGAAACGTGCTTTTGCAGACATTTCAAAAGAGGTGGAGGAAGTTGATATTACACCAGCGCTTTCTGCTGCTTTCTCGATCAAAGACTCTGACGAACTGGTTCGTTAAATCTACGTCAGAGCGCCGAAGAAGTGGATTTTACTAACATTTGTCATAGGTGTCTATTCGCAATGCTTCCAGAGCATGCAGCGGCCTTATGTCAGAGTACTTCGTTGATGAGATGTCACGTCTGCTTGACGAAGAAAAGAAGATGACGCACAAGGCTCTTGCTGCAAAGGTTGATGCAAAAATTGACGAACCGAAGTTTTTCAACAAGCTGGCACGGCTACCATCAGAATTCGATGCTCGACAGATCGATTGGGCCTACGGTCCTGTGATCCAGAGTGGAGGCAGCTACGACCTCAAGCTGACAGCAACATCCGACGGCAAAAACCTCGAGCCAGGTATCATCCTGTCCAGCTTCGGAATCAGGTACAAGACTTATAGCTCGCTCATTGCGCGTACCTATTTGGTTGATCCCACCAAATCGCAAGAAGCTAACTATGCGTTGCTTCTGAGCGTGCACGAAACAATCATGAAAGAGATTCGGGACGGCGTGGTGGCTAAGGATATCTACACTAAAGCCCTGAGCCTTGTCCGCTCCAAGAAGCCCGAGCTTGAGAGCCACTTTGTCAAGAACGTTGGCGCAGGGATTGGAATTGAGCTTCGGGATTCCAATATGGTCCTCAATGCCAAAAACAACCGTGTTTTGAAGAACGGCATGACCTTGTCTATCACCGTCGGCCTCACTGATGTGAAGGATCCAGACGCGAAGAGCACCAAAAATGGTGGTTATTCAATGGTCATCACCGACACAGTTCGTGTTGGGGAAAGTGGTCCTCATATCTTCACTAAAGATGCTGGTATTGATATGGACTCGATCTCATTCTACTTTGGGGACGACGAAGAGCCCGAAAAGCCCGTCAAGCAGAAAAAAGAATCGAAGTCTAGCGCCATTGCTAGCAGGAACGTGACAAGGACCAAGCTCCGTGCTGAAAGACCAACCCAAGTGAATGAAGGCGCAGAAGCTCGTCGGCGTGAGCATCAAAAGGAACTGGCTTCCAAGAAAACCAAGGAAGGCCTCGACCGGTTTACTGGTGCTACTGGCGATGACAATGGAGTTGCGCAAAAGAAATTTAAGCGTTTTGAGTCCTACAAACGCGACAACCAACTTCCAGCCAAGGTCAAAGATCTCACTGTTTACGTTGATTCGAAAACATCAACCGTGATTGTGCCCATCATGGGTCGACCAGTGCCTTTCCATATTAACACCATAAAGAACGCCAGCAAAAGCGATGAAGGAGAGTATGCTTATCTACGAATCAACTTTTTATCGCCGGGCCAAGGTGTTGGCCGAAAGGATGACCAACCTTTCGAGGATCTGTCAGCTCACTTCGTTCGCAATCTTACTCTTCGATCCAAGGACAATGACCGGCTTGCACGGGTTGCACAGGACATCACGGAACTTCGCAAGACTGCTTTAAGACGGGAGCAGGAGAAGAAGGAGATGGAAGATGTCGTCGAGCAGGATAAGCTGGTTGAGATCAGGAACCGTCGTCCAGTGAAACTCCCTGATGTCTATCTTCGTCCGCCATTGGATGGAAAGCGTGTGCCGGGAGAGGTTGAGATTCACCAGAACGGTCTCCGATACCTCTCACCGTTCCGCAATGAACATGTAGATGTGCTTTTCAGCAACGTCAAGCATCTTTTTTTCCAACCATGTGCCCATGAATTGATTGTTTTGATCCATGTCCATCTTAAGACGCCAATCATGATCGGAAAGAGAAAGACAAAAGACATTCAATTCTACCGCGAGGCCACGGAGATGCAATTCGATGAAACTGGAAACCGTCGCCGCAAGCACCGCTATGGGGACGAGGAAGAGTTTGAGGCCGAGCAAGAGGAGAGACGGCGACGAGCTGCGTTGGACCGTGAGTTCAAGGCCTTTGCAGAGAAGGTCGCAGACGCCGGCAAAGACGAAGGTGTGGATGTCGATATTCCGTTCAGGGAGATTGGGTTTACCGGAGTTCCAAACCGCTCAAATGTGTTGATTCAACCGACCACCGATGCCTTGGTTCAGCTTACAGAACCTCCTTTCACGGTGGTCACGTTGAATGAGATTGAGATTGCTCATCTGGAGAGAGTACAGGTAACGTTTTTGACTTCTCTTGCCACACTGATACATGGCTTCTAACGATAAAATAGTTCGGACTCAAAAACTTCGACCTTGTGTTCGTTTTCAAGGATTTCCGCAGGACCCCAGTGCATATTAACACTATTCCCGTCGAAGCACTAGAAGGTGTCAAGGACTGGCTTGACTCTGTTGACATCGCCTTCACCGAGGGCCCACTGAACCTGAACTGGACTACAATCATGAAAACGGTTGTCAGTGATCCGTACGGCTTCTTTGCTGATGGCGGCTGGTCTTTCTTGTCCGCCGAGTCGGACTCCGAGAACGGTTCGGACGAGGAAGAAGAGTCTGCTTTCGAGCTGTCCGACTCGGAGCTTGCAGCTGGAGACGAGAGCTCCGAGGAAGACAGCGAATTTGACGACGACGCCAGCGCTGATGCCAGTGAAGAAGAGCTCAGTGGTGACGAGGAGAGTGGCGAGGACTGGGACGAGCTTGAGGAAAAGGCGAAACGCAAGGACAAGGAGACCAACATCGAAGACGACCGTGGAACCAAACGCAAGCGCTAATGGATTATGAGTCCTCATTCCGTCAATTGCCTTCACTAGTTCGTTTTGTTCTTTCTGTACTCTGCCTTTTCTTTGCGTCTTTTTCTTTATTCTTTTATTTGCGCGGTTCGCTGCTTTTCAGTGAGCTGTTTGGTCCTCGCCTTGTATCTCCTTGGTGGTTTGCACTGGTTGAGTTGGGGCAATCTTAATCGGGGCCTATGATCATTAGGGGTTATGAAGGTTTACTCAGAAGAAAGCAGAAGTCTTCGCTGTAATTTATCAAATGATCCGTTCTAAGGAGTGACATGTAGACAAGTAATAATATTTCTCTATACTGGAGCACCCGACAAGCAGGAATTGCCCGGCCTGGATCCAATGTGCATTGCTCACGTACGACTGATAAAAGATTTGGGTGCTAGGATCCAGTGCACTATTTCCCTTGTCGCATCGAGGCCCACATGCTTCGCATGCGCTCTCCCTGTCCGGGCGTAAAGCGCTCATAGCATACATCAGACGAATAGTCCATAAAATCATGAACCGCATCCAGTCCAGGGGAGTCTGGGCAGGAATCCTTCTTGGCAGGACAACCGTCTGTAGGCGTAGATTGCTGGGGAGTGTCATTGATGTAGTCTCCAGGGTTGTCCGCTGAGCAAGATTCCCCTTGGAAGGTGTGCAGGAGGCCGTTCCAATGTCCGATTTCGTGAATGGCCGTCCCTCCGCGGTTGTACAAATCCAGTGAGCCACCAGGCATCGTCTTTGCCAAGACATTACAACCATCCTTGACATAATCAGAAGCAGGGCTGCTGGCGTTGACACTCGGGTCAGGCAATGTACAAAACCCGAGAACACTGGATGCCAGATCATTATTGACGCCCGCACCCCGGTCTCCCACTGCGCGCCCGGATTGACCAGGAGAAGCCTGTAGGTCTGTTTGGAAATAAACATTCAAGGTTCGATAGGTTCCTTTGCGAAGAGCAGTCTTCATTGCGATATCATCCCCATTGCGCGCCCACTCGTCATTTACATGGCGAGTGACACCTCGCAAACTATATGAGATATCAGAGTCTGCATATGACTGTTGCAGGATAGAAAGCTGTGGGAAATATCAATAAAGAGTTGATCTAACGGTACGTGGGGGAAAGTAAGAAACTGACTTGGGCACTGATCATATCATCAGAGACCTGTGTCGATTCAGCCTGGCTGCTGATGATGTGAAACCAGGTTTCAATCTCAATGGGGGCCTTCCGGGCCTGATAACTGGCAGATTTGGCTTCATCTGACTTCAAGCGACCAACTTCATTGAGGAACACTGCGTCTGGATCTTCGGTGGCGCAGGCGCCTCGCTTCTGGAGGGCAAAGGGGCTGCACTGAACCTGCAGGAATAGGGATGTGACAAGGACCACGAGCTGGAAAAAGGAGTGACAGACCATGTTGCTGGTGTTGGAAGCCCTTGTGGTTTTGGCGTTACCCCGTCACACCTGTCGGGTAGAGGACAAAAAAAAGAAGGATCAAGAGGATCAAAAGGGAATTAACTGGTCAGTGGTTTCCATGGCTATATGAGTGAGTGCGTTTACCCCAAACACCACCAAACATGGTCTGATTCCATGATCCGGAATGCTGCGTCATGCGGGAATGCACGTCCCAGGTAAGGGGTGTTCTGAGCATGCGGAAGATCAGCGTGGGAGGATTGAGAAAGTGTAAAACGATTGGCATGCGAGCGATTCCGACCAAGTCCTATGAAGCAGGATGAGGTCACCCAAGCCGAGAAGAGAACAGAAAGAATGTTGTATTTGGAGTATCTGCAATCAAAGTTAGATACATTTGGGAGGAAAACACCTTGCTAAACACCAGATCCTCAAAAGTTCCTACTATTTACAGCGTTAACCCATTGAATACAGAAATTGCGAAGAAAACACCATAAGAAAAAACGAAGAAAACGAAAGACTCGGTTCAAGGGCGATCATCTCGTCCCGTAGTGACAGCAGTGCTGGGCTGATTTGAATCCCATGTAAGGTATGTATGATCACCCAGTTTCCTGCGGGAGGTTAGTTCTTCTCCATTCAAGAAGGGAACTCGTAGATAATCATACCTCGGGCGCACCAGGTGCGCAACGGTGAATAATGCCCCAAGGAGAACACAGATCCCACCAACCACTACATATGCGATCCCCATGAAGGGATTTTTGCCACCAAGGACCGTCCGAGTAGAGATCAAAATCGACTTTGTTCCAGCGTACTCGGTGACGGGAAACTCTGGCCGGAGGTTAGCAAACCATATAGCCCAAAAAATGGATAGAATGACATACTGTGGACAATGTCCAAAGAATAAGAGCCTTTTGGCATGGCATGAGTATCGTTTCGGCGAGAGAGCTTGCTGAACGACGGCAAACCTGCAGTTCTCATCCACACCATGAAATCCTCATCTTCATGAAGATTGGGCATCTCTGTGTAGGTACCGTTGTACTTGGCCCAATTCTGCGGTGGCAAAACATCTCCTGGTTTATACTTCGTCTGTTTGATGAGCTCCTTGTCACTAGCCCACGCGATCCCCTTCTTAGTCATATTGTAGTAGGTCTTGATGCTATCACTCCCCGATCCCGATAGAGACTGGGGGTTGCCAATGGTATCATTGAACATCGAGTTCGCAATCAATCCACATGGATAGTATGCCTTCTTCGCCTCCCCATCGATCGCCAAAGGGTCACAGGCGCCCCCCTTGATTGTGTTGTACGGGACAGCGTCACCCTTTAACTGATTCAAATCGAGCGATTGGACATATCGGCGATGGTTCTGATAGAAATTGGTAAGACGGTAGTACATGAAAACGGGTGCTGGAAGGTCATTTGGAAGGCTGAAGTAGAGCGTGCAGACAGTGGCTCCGGAGCTATCGTTGTGTCGTTCCCAGGTAGGCGGTGTCGAAAGTTCGTTTTTGAACGTTGCCGAGTAGTTTGGGACATAATCTTGGCGTTCATATGGCGCCTTGGTGTGACATTCGGAGTAATCGATGGAAATTTCTTGGACCTGAAAGGCACACGCGTCGATACAGATGAGCGATCATTCCATCAAGGCCGGATTGAAAAGCAGAAGCGTACCAGAGAGCTCGCCCAAATGAGAACACCACCGATCGGGGCAAATATAACGCCGACTATGAAGAAGAGAGGTAGGACGCTTTTAGGGGTCAGGATTGGTCTAAGAAGGTCAGCAAGGCGGTCCAGGGGTAGCACAGATACCCTTCAAACTCACTGCCATGCTTTCAGTCGTTGCTGGCGAAATGCGGTATCTGGTACAAGTCAATCATGGGAAGGGGGTGATATTGTAGAAAACGTACTGGCTGGCCGACGAGACTTGGGTTTCTTGTCAGTCTCCTCCTCCCTTGCGCGCTCCTGGTCCTCGATGGATTCAGTACGAGTCACCTCGGCCTGGGACATGGCTTCAAACTGCCAAGATAACAGAGGGAAATGTTCTTTGGGGTGAAGTGAATAAAGCGAAGAGTGATAAGACAAGGGAGACGTCAGAAAAAGGTGGCGCCGGGCGGTAGATGGCGTTGATTGCGCCCCACCGCTTTAGTGACTTTTAATAGAAACACGATCTTTGGCTTTTAGGAATCACCATTTACTGATATTTACGATGCGATGCATTTCATTTCATTTCAATTCATTTCATTTCAATTCAAGCAACGGGCGAATATCAGGAAAACCGTATCCGGTGAGGGTATCAAGCCTTATCCTATGTGCCGCCATCCGAGAAGGGCCGGAGGGGAAAAAGCAAAAAAAGCAATCCAACTAACGCAAAAAAAAAAAGAAGAAGAAACACCGATGGCTAACCAAGCCTACCATTCTAGACCGATGTGGAACTGAAGACAACGCCCAACGCCATAACACGCGACCGAAGTTGGCAAAAGCGGTTGAGAAAACCATGAACCAGGAATGTCTGGATGCAACTAGCAAGGGGAATCTTGGGAATTGAAAGGCGGAAATCAAAAAGAAAAGAATGTATCGTGATGTGTCGTGAGCAAAACAGTAACGGGAAACAACCGAGACGATCAAATATGGTGGGATCGTAGAAATCATTCTGCAAATGCAATGCTGCTGCCACTGGCATAGACTGTGGTTGAATTACAGGGTTGCAGATGCTGCGTGGTCAGCCTGAGAAAGTGGACTTGTCGGCCCATGGGAGAGGAGATTCGGGGTCATAAATGTGCATTCCCTGGCCCATGAAATTGCCACCAGGCTTGTAAGGTCAAGTCAGATGTTCATGGAAGAATTCAGGCTTGAACCATCCCACACGTTCGTAGGCAGTCCAAAGCTTGCTTGCTTTGTTGACATCGATCTTGCAAGCCTGTTGAGCATCTGTCTTGCGGAACTCTTTGCCAACACCGAGGGCTCGAAGCCGAGCTTCAAAGATGCGGCGTTTGCTGCAGAGGTATGTGGCACAAGAAAGTCTAAGGGTGGAGGCAAGGTTGAGCTCGGCGGCACTGAGAAGATGTTTGTCCGGGTCATTGCTCAGGTCCAACATCTGCCCTTTCCAATCGGCTTTCAGCGCTTTAGCATTGCTGCCTAGCGTTTCCAGCGGAGGCGAAAAGTCCGGGAGGGAATGGAAATCAGTGTCATCCCGGTTGGTGCCTAGGGCACGTGGCTTGGAGACCGACATTAGGGGGGAGTCAAAAGTGTCGAGCACCTGTTGCTTGGGGGTAGATTTGGGGGTGCGCTTGACTCGGGTCCGCTGCACACGCGGCTGGGTTCCCAACTTCTTTGGGGCAGGAGCAATCTTCTTCAACTTGGGTTCGTCGTCTGGGCGGTAGCGGTTCATCATGACCAACTGACGCTCCAAGGTCTCCCGTTCCTCGCGAGCCCAGGCTGCCGGGTTCCGGTTATACTGAGTCGAGACAATAGGGACACAGGAGAGCGCCAGGAGATATTCACCCCGGGTGGGTTTATTCACTTTATTTGCAAACCTCGCCATGTGGGAATTAATGTGCTGCTCCATGAGAGCCTCTGCAGTTGGATTGACGGGACCGAAAAGCGGTTCATCGGTAGTAACATCAGTAATGGAGTTCTGGCGAGGAAAGAGAACGGGATCCCTTGAGGATCCGTCTCTTTCGATTGGGTCGGATGCCTGTGACTTGGATTTCTTGTTCCCTGTGTACGGGGTCACAGGTGGCGATGGAAGATCCATCTCTGACTGCGTCCGCTTTCGATCAGCTGAGATGGGTGGAAGCTTTATGTCACCAATGGAGGAATCTCGAGGCTTTGCAAACGGGGAACGCGAGGCCGAAAAGGTCTCGAGGGGTTTAGTCTCGGGGGGTGACATGAGGCTAGAAACAGAGGGGAGACGATTCATATTTGGATGTTTGCCCGAAGGCCAAGCAGCAGCCGATGAGGTCATTTCCAATGAGATACCAAGCGATAAGTCGATAAGTCGGTAAGTTGGGTAAGTTGGGTAAGTTGAGGTAAGCCGGTCAAGATAGGTTAAAGCAGTCAATGGGGAGACGGAGATCAGTGAGATAGAAGAGAAGATGAAGAAAGCTGGCGAGTGTGGAAGTCAATGGAAATGAATCAGGTAAAGCCAGATGATTTGTCAGGGCGGCCTCTTTGTCTTAGTAGGGGGAGGGGGTTTTGGGTGGCGATAAGCCCAAGTCTCGGCGTTAAGGCTACAATTGCCGAATGAGTCAAATTGGTGGGGGAACAAGGTCCATTGAAAAGGCAGAAAGATAAAAAGGGGTGGATGGGGGAAAGAGGGGAGTTAAAAGCAAACAAAGTGAGTCAGGTATAACTGCGGGGTGGCGCGTAGAGAGTCCAAGTTTCCCAAGAGTTTCCCAAGATGATCCCAAGGGGGCTCATGGGACCAATAATGAGGAAGGCGAGAAGTCAGAGCGTAAGCGCAGGTGGTTGGAAGGGGCGCAGTCCACTGCAGTCACCAGAGCAATGACGTCCGTCTTTCAGGTGCCCATCCCACATGACATGCGAGCAGTCACCTGATAGGTAGATCTTATCTATCTTTCTATCTTTCTTTCTACCGTATCTTTCTATTTTGGATTGTCTATTTCTTTTGTCTCTTCTTTTTTGTCGTCTCATCTTTGGTGTGATAGATTCGGTTGATTTGGCTGGTTTTGATTTCTGATTTGGTTATGACTCATGCTCAGTGGTTGCCTAGTAAGCACCGAATTGCGTCAATTGCAGCCCTAGAGTTCACATCTCTACCTTATTCGTCAATTGGCCTGGCCTGGGATCGGAATTCTAGGCCGATTATGGCCTAGAAATTCTCCGGCTTCCCTCTTTGACATTGTTCGATGCCCGTAGTTCTTGTTCCCGAGGTCCCTTATGGTCGCGTGACCTGATCTGTTACTCTTTGACCTCTGGTGTCTTCTATTTGCTATATCGACCATCAGGCAGTGGAGCAGGATGCCTTCACATGTAGCAATAAACAATAAAGGCTGAATCTCATGTGAAATACCATATACTTTGGACAACCTTGATGCACCGTGTATAATGGTTGCAGGCCTGTGGAGTCGGAAGAAGTGTAAGAGCCAAATATCGGGTGTTACCTATGATTTCGCGGTTTTGGTCTACAAGAAATGTACTTCGGCACGACACCGATTAATTCACCCCTAGCCGAGGCAAAGAATCAAAGGCATCAGATACATATGTTTATATGCCAGTATCGTGGATTTAAAACAAGTCAGACCACGTAATCCGCATGTATGCTCATATGCTCGTAAAAGGCTGATTATAAGCATAGTCTCAACTTTGGAACCTACTCGATCTAGCCTTGAAGCACAATCCCCGTAAAATTCCGATGACCATCATATGAACACGCCGTACTGTACGCGTGTATCTAAGAATGGGAATCAAGAACTGAACTAAAAGGCCACCGCGCAATGCTCATGAGCAGGCCCGCTTAAACACAATGCGACCGCTGATATAATGCAGGTAAATTACTTGCTGAGCGAGCCCGATAACCTCTAGGCTTACAACCTTGGAAGTTAGAACTTAGGCACCTAAGGCAGAATGTTTAACCCGTAACTAGCTAGGTCTCCTGGGGTGTACGATCGATAAGAGATGTGGAATCCTAAGTGAAGCGTATAGAGCATAGGTGATAACGTTGTATTGTAAAGGACCGAACGCTGGCTTAGAAGGTGTTTCAAAACCCACCGGGGGTGTGGGGTTGCCGAATGGCTGGCTTACAATACTAAGTCACATGAGCTTAGGCTGCGATACAGGCCGTCTATGGGCCTTGGGGTAAGGCCTATTGCCTGTCTATAATGCGCTTTAGGCGTTTGGCTAAGGGAAGCTCCGCCTGTTTTTGTCTATAGGCATTGCCCGGCCTAATACAGGAAATGCCTATTCGCCTAATTTTACTTAAAGTCACCTAACATAGACGTATAACTTACTAGTTTATCGGGATAAATTACAATTTTTTACCTATATAACCAACTGTTCTACCGTATTTCACAAGCGAGTGGACCACCGCAAAACACATAGTAAATACGATAGATTACAGCCTTATATCTTAGTATTAGACTTCATCAAAACCCAATTTGGGTCCGGGTCCAATTGGGTTTTAGAGAAGTCTAACGATGACCCACTTAATTATGTCTACCATTATGTCTACGATTTTGATACATTATATCAACCATAACGCGGATTCACTGAAAATTAAGCTATTCATACCACATTAGACACCTATTCCTTTTATGTCTCGGCATTCTATAAAGCCGTATCGCTATAGTCTCCTCTTATTAGCTTGGATAGGCGTTAGACCTCTAGTATAGTCTTATAAAGCTTCTAACCCAATAGACTACATTTAAGCTATTTAACCCTTCGTACGTCACTTCTTACGCTTTATCTTCGCATTAGCAGCTAATAATTCGCTAATTTACTGCGTCGCGATCATAAAGCTATATATAGCGAGCTAGTAGCCTATCTAATCTGTAGCTTCTTCTAGACGTAATAGACGTATAGGGTTATTAGAAGCTAGCCTTTCTATAGACGAAGCATATTTCCTTAACCCTTTCCGGTATTAGGCGTTTTTGGTGAAATTAAGGCTTACATCGCTACTACGGCTAGGTAGTCTCGGGAAGTGACTAGACGAATATCAAGCTTCTAAATAACGTATTACGGATCGCATAGTATAATACCGGCACCGACGAAGCTATTTATAATAGTTCCTAAAATAAATATTCGATTCGAACGGTCCGATATACCTCTAGGCAATATTTTTATTGACGCGGTAGATACTTAAGACTTATCTACGACTAGACTGCGACATTGCCCGTCCATGGGCACCTAGGAGGTGCCTATCGCCCGTCCACGGTGGGCGGTAGGCAACTTGGATTTTCGAGTGCCCGTCCACAACGCCTATCGCCCACAGGCATGCCTACCGCGGGTATGCCTACTATGCCTACTATTGTATAAAGTCACCTAAAATA